ATCTGTCTGATATTCTCCCTCGTACAGTAGTCCACTGTAACAAATTTAAGATAACGGTAAAACAAATCCATTCAAAATAAACCCTACCGGATGTGATGATTCGTCGGTTACAATTAATTCAAAAACGGCTTATGGTGAATTCAGTCGATCGACGGCTTTTGCATGTTCACATTCATGAAGAGACAACGGATGTTCTTAATGGGATAAGGCTTTCTTTATCCTACTCATTCGCATGTGTGCATTGCCAAAGGCTTTCTTTATGTGATATCTGCTAATAAGTAGTATCATTTTGGAGCAGAGTTCACAACGCTATCCCATATACTTCTTTCATCATCGCTTCCTTAATTACAGATCAAGATCGTTTTCTTAGCTTTTCTTCGTTTTCGTATGGCCTAAAAAAACATATTTACCACCGCACCATGAAGCGCTACATCTCCATCCTTCTCGATTCCTTTATTTTGATTCATATTTCATATTCCTGTTCCTAAACTGTGTTTAATGCAGTCCATTTTCGAGAAAAATATGACTGCGCAAATGGCAACTAGACATAGTGATGAATCGAAGCTTTTTCCTCAAAATTTTTCGTTCCCTTCCCATTTTACACAAATACTTTCATCCTCGCAACATTTGAACATAGATCATCAACATTTTTATGGAAGGAATGTAAATATTTAGTGATGAAAGGCACGAACTTGAATGCTTTGAATAATTTTTGAATAGATAAAAGATATTGTAGGGAGCGTTTAATGTTCTTCATTGATGGAATAAATCTTTTACGTGAGTGGCTGTTAGTCGTTTGGTTCTAATTCAGTTACGAATAACGATGCAAACCTCGATTGATCGTGAAGCATGCGGTATAAACTTTACTTTTGTGCCCATAACCTTAACAAAAGATAAAACCTACAACTTTTCTCAAAGCATCGTATTTACAGTCAATAAGACTTCTCATGTTGGTTATGGTACAACCTTAACAACGCTAAGAACGGATTGATTTNTGCCACACTTATTGGAAATATCAGTGTTCTCAAGTATAATAGTCCTTTTCTCATTTTTGAATTTTTCAATTAATGAATTTAAGTTCAAACTCATCAGAAAAACTTTTTGTATGCAAAGAAATAGGAGTCGATGCAAGTGTTTCAATCTGGTAGAATTGTGATGCATATAAATTTGAAGATTGATGTTTAGATAAAAAAGCAGAGCTGAATAAAGCACAAAATTGGTTGTGGCATGCACCTGAACGCATCATCACATCTGTATGCCTCTTGATGTTGTGTGTTTATCTCGTTTATGGTAAATATCCTCAAATTGTTTGTAACTTATTGACAACAACACCTGCTGCACTCTTCACGTATGCACTGCTCACGAAAGCGCCTACTGAGACAATTTCACAGGTGCGATTTCTGAATATGGCAAACTTCACTCGTCAGATACTGTCTTGTGCTATTTTACATGATATTTTAAATGATTTTCATTCCAAGATTGGAATGTTGTTGAATGTGGGCAAATGTACACATTAAAATATCTCGCAATAATTCAGCTATTCTCCTCTGTAATTGAAGCCTTTATTTTCGATATCCGCGTACTAAAAACTTAAGTATCTAAGGACATATACGTAATTCAACGAAGTTATGTCGTTTCAACCAATGAATCAGTTCCAGTCAATATTTTGAACAAAGTTTAGACATGAGCCTAAGTCTAGTTCTAACTCCAAATCCAGATCGGTTCCCCCATGTGATACGATAAGTCATCAGCAGTCTCTGAAATCAATTCCCTTAATATCGTCGTTATTCATAACAAAGCGATTGCAACAGTTTTTGATCACCTTGCAGAAATCAATTCTTCTATATTGGAGTGTTTACGGAGTGCTGATATGTTTCGATAATGCGTTCAACAATATTTTTGGATATTTTTTGCTGAAATTCGTATTCCTTTGTGGATTACTTTTCACTGCAATACGTAACAACAACAATAATGCTACTGTTATTCAACTGTACAATACAGCTGAAGAAAAACTTTTACTTCAATCCAATGCTCTGGAGAAAGTAGTTGTTATTTCTTTTTTACTGTCTGATTCTTGTTTGAATATCTTTGATATCAACAACCGACGCATTCAGCTCGTTTAAGGATATTTTATTGGATTGATAATGTAGATAGCATCTTGGGCAAATAATCATTTATGGATTTCTTCTAAAGATGAGGAGCTGAGATCATTGAAGAAACTTTTGCCGATGAGATGATCTCTCTTTCATAATTCCTTACTTCCATACTGATGCCAACTCTCACCGTTCATTCTGGTTTGATGATGCTTTATCGTATTGCACTAATCAGCTAAACCACAAAACCGCTATCTTCGTCGAACGAAGCTTTCAAAATAAGTTTTAAAAGACCGAAATTTAGCATCAGTCGAGCAACAAAGCAAAAAATACCACCACCACCACCACCACAGCATCACTTACAACAATGCGTTCAACACTCACTTCAGTACCATTCTGCATCACGTCATCGACAAATGATAACACACTCAGCAATAACATCCTCGAAACACCAATGAGATCAATCGACGAAGCCTTTGTGGGTTCAACTCGTCCTACCAACACTTTTCTGTTCGAAAATCAGATCTGTGCAAACATCCGATAGTATTTCGTCAGGAAATACATTGTTGAAAGACAGACATTTTATGATGTCATTTTGCATTAATTCGGTGACCTCGAATGTTGAATTTGGAAATGCTCAGCGAAAGGGCGGATTGAGTAGAGATTGTTTTATGGCGTAGATTTAGCAGTCTGATTAGGGTGCAGTATAGGATCAAAGCACTACAAAAACAATATACGATCTGTTGAATGAACAAATCAAACTGAAAGATTATCAACGACCAAATTTCGTTCTGAAGCAGTCAATCATATCAGAGTCTACTAACGACGCAACGACATGCCTCGAACAGTCATTGTTCGAGCCATCCAGTTTGCTGAATGAGAATGAGAACGGTGATCGAGTGAGTAATTAATCGATCTCTTGATTAAGTGAATAATTGTTGCGTTTTTTTATTTATATTCATCATTTATTTATTTGTTGGTATTGTTTATTTATTTAGGTTGATTATATTTACTTATTACTTATATTGATACTTAGATTTATTTATTACTGTTTATTAGTAACGCTGATATATCATACTATCATGTTTATTACATCAACATATTATTTACTGACATTATCATAGTGAGTTATTATTTGATTTTCGATCAGAGTCCGTGTTAATAATTCAGTTTTGATTATGTAACAGTGTACAACGTTATTGCTTATCGGAGGAAAATGATTGAAATACGGTGATAATGCTGACAATAATATCAGAACAGCGATGGTTATTATTATACCCAGTTGAATGCGAAATCCTCTGCCGTACACACAAGCCGAATGCAATTCTTGACACTGACAGAAGACAGTGCCAGATTCACACAATCAACAACATAAATTTCGTACGTTTCGCTGAGAACACCAATAGGGTGTTCGAAGCGGAAAATTAACAGCCTAAGGACCAATAGCAATTTTCGTTTTTTATTGACAAATATCGATAAAATTATATGAAGTTAGACTATTCAGAACTCGGGTGACAAAATTAACAGTTTTGACGGAACAGTGATTGAAAACAGCGATTACCTTATCATCACGCCGACTCAGAAGGTAATGTTCTGCATTCGAATTGACTTGATAATTTGCTGGTTTATTGAGAAGATGTTGAAAAGCAATATGAGACATTCCATTTCAGAATATATGTAGTCAAGGTGAGATTATAAGGTTACTGAATCTCTGAACATAAATGTTTAATTTGATCAGTTTTTTCAAATGTCAGTGATATTTCTTTGTGAAAATGTCGATGATATTTAAAGGTGATATTTAAACATCCATATAACGATACGATCACATTAGCAATCACCAATATACATAACAAACCGATGATGTGGGCTCTCAAAACAAACGCTTTACAAAGGATCGTAGCGCAACCAACTTGTGGTGTACTCCCATCATATACCACCGTACATGTATGATATTTTAAATACTACTTCGTTATCACTTGTTGATTACAGATAGGGTACTATTAGGCTAAGTCAGTTACTTCAGTTTTTTTTTCAAATTTGAGAGGAAACACTTTCATATTGAAAGACGGTGCCTGAAAAACCGCTGTATTCGTCCCTTTAGATACAAATTTCAATTATAGTATGCGTTGATCATTGAAACAGTTTTTGGAAAACAACAGGATATGATGTTTTGAATAAAGTTCGGCATTATTCAGCGTAAGATATTCTGATCCAAACATCCTCAACGAAGTAATTTCAGCTGAAAATTGGTTTATTGGCACCTCCGCCAAATGGAAATGAACTTGGATCTGATCGGATGGCAGTTGATTATTGTATCGCAGAAGAGGGCGTAGCATTGTTCGATCGTAAGCAAATGCATCGTAAACGCAACACCTACAAACGAAAAAATATCGCTGTTGTTTACAAAAAATAAATTCACAACTGATCTCGTGTTTTACTAAGTGTCACTTGCGTTCAGTCACCTACTCCTGCTCAATTTCTCAGTAAAGCATTTCAATTCATTTGTCGCACCTTTATCACACTACAAGTCATCATTAGTGGTAAACTACGAAGATATAAAGCTGTATAAAAACTCAATATGAAGAGTTTCGTAGATCCGATCAACTCCAAAAACTATGCAGGGCAGAGGAAGAGTGCCATGTCGCGTACTGACTTTGAGGTCATTGAAAACGTCACTATTAATCGTATTGCACGTTGCAAGCAGCAATTACCGGACAATTCATATTATCGTGTACTCTTCTGTCATGACATTCGATTAATACGAGCTTTATTGTAGGAACCATCTGGCTTTTCTTACCTGCCAATATAACTGTGAACTAACACATGCCCTTGACGGAATATGTATAGCACAATTTGTTCTTGACATTTCAACATGATGTCTTACAGTGAGTAAAGCCATCGGATAAATCCGGCCAATACGCAGCCTTTGTTGAGACAACGAATAACTCCGTAGTTTTTAGAAAAGATGACGCGAAGACCGACTCCATATGTGCATGTGGTAAATAGGTGTTTGTATGACCATAACGAAGGCGTGTGCGAAATTGGCAAGAATAGATAACGTATAATGGAGAATTTCGATTCACTATCTAACGTCAAATTTCCTACCCACCTCACCTGATTCCAAGTTGCACATTCCGCGGGTATATTTTCAGAATTCTAAGTTAATTCATCTTCGAGTTTAGCATGATTTCCCGGTAAAGGGAGTTGTCACTGACAATATGACTTCATCCAACAGATCACTCGCTTATTTACTTGTGATCGGGGTTGGGTATAGAACTAAATTAGGCTTGGGGCCTGGTATGTTCCGAACTATAGAGTACGATTCAGGATCTCGAAAACATTGTGGATGCTTGCGGTTTCTTAAACAACTCTACTTGTAATGTCTCTTCTGCTCACAGCACAGACCGCATTTGACTCAAGATTTTATAAAAGTTTAAATTTACTAACCAAACCAAAATCAACAACAAGGAAATCAACAAATGAGAACAAAAAATTGCATTGAAGAAAAGGATGTAAAATATGACAACCCAATTTTATGAATTCCACCTTACAAAATGTGGGAAGTTATAATCAATAACCCGCCTTGATTTCAGCAAAAATATTTCAATTCTTATGTAAAGGCGATTCATTCATTTCCCCAGTTAGGCTAGTTGAACACAGGAAGCACATAATTCAAGTTCAAATTTCATTGTAGAAGGAGATTTTGCTGAAGGAGGAATAACCTTCATCCGTTCGATTCTGAGGATTTATTCAGTGTGCGATTCCGACAATGTGATATGTGAAAAAGAAAAGAACAAAATCATAAAAAGGGTAAATGATTAAATGAATACACTTTTCAATTTGATACAAAAACGCTCAAAGATATCAGTGCTTCTTAATGATACTGCTATTTCATTACCCAACTGGAATAAATGATTTGGATTTCATGNCTTTTGTTATTCGTTCTTGACCGTCTCCTCCTTATTTTCTTTCCCATCATTTTCCTATTCACAGTCGATCTGCCAGCATCGTTATTTGCCGCTACGTTCAGTTTCCTCTGTACGACGGCCGGTCTTTTTGTGTGCTTCTTCACGTTGGAATTCTTCTCAGTCGCAACCAATCTCTGAACATTGTTCTGTATGCTGCACACATTACATCAGTCATGGGCACAGTCATAAGTAAACTGCTCAGTGGAATCGACGATTGACCGAGAAAATGTGAGCAGTAACACAAATTAACGAATTGAGGTCACTACCAAAAAAATGATTATGGAATATATCGCACGTTTCATCTTTTACAACTTTGGTCGATAACGATGGAAACTGTTCGAATATCGAAGTAAAAAACCGTAAAAACAATTACGAAGTGACCTTATTTTTTTTCTGGATCCGAGTAACTCTCAGTTCTCGCTTATTGAAAGTTGATCCACTCATTTTGATCGCGATCGGTACCGTCGCACTATCTTTAAATGAAACGAACGCGAATCCTTTGCCAATTCCTGTGCTCGAATCTCGAACAATACGAACAAACTCGACTTCACCACACTTCAATACAATTCAAAATTCACTGATGACATACTCAGACAAGCTAATTGTAAAACAAAATCACGCATTCATAACGAGTAAAATGTCTAAGCTGTGAATGCTAATAAGCTGCATTTAACAAAGACACCTTCTCGAAATAACCACGAAGCAGATCTTCTTGCGTATCGAACGGTACATTCCCAACAAATACCGTTGTTTTACTATTGTAATTCTTCTTTGCAGCACAGCTATCCACTCGAAGTTTGTGCTCTTTTAATAGTTCACCATTCCTTAACATCTTTGACCAATAAGCTGAATCCAAGTATTGCTTGAAGTTATTCATATTGTTCATTCAATAAAATAGGCATTCAATGTTTTTGATGGATTAAGTTTCAGAGACAGGCACTGGATAATTTGAATTATGTTGCGATTTCATATGCGTCAGCAATTTTCTAAGTACAATGGTTGAAAAAAAACCCATCGTATTCGACCCTATGAACGAAAAATGCTGCAAAGGTCATAAAAATTGGAAGCGTGAAGTATTTCAGATGTTAAGATAAATTCTAAATAAAATAGATGAAATTGAAGGAAAATGGATCGCATAAAACTCACATAGCTAGAGCTTCCTTTGCAGAATCAGCTTCAGTGAATTTAACATAGAAAATTAAAGACTGCATTTTGGATGAGAAATCATGCTTGAGAACGGCCACCTAAACCACTATCATAAAGAAAACAAGACGGTGAATACTCTCAAATGAAAGTGCCCGGAGTTCATCGAAAAAAAATCAAAGACTTAATTCTGCTTATTTCATTAACACTTCTAGAGCAAAATCGCTGACCACCACCAGCGAAATGGTCACTTTACCGCTCAAAAGAAATTCAGCATTCGTGGATTTGACGTTTCTTTTGGAATCATGATACGACTCTGTAACCGAATAATGGTGAAATATTTTCACAAAAATTACAACACTTCACCTTTTTCGACGTTTTCTCGCTGCCACTTACTACTGATCGTAATCGCACACTTTCAACTGTTCCATATTTCGAAAATAATTTCTTGATAGTTTTACGTGTTTCTGATTTAGGTACATTCCCAACGAATACGGTACGTTCTTGCTCCTCTTCGGTTTGTTTTGCTTTCAATGTACGATTATTCAGTCTGCAATATACTCGAAATATCCGTTTTAAAAATTGAAAGTACCGTCAAACTACAACTCGATTTTGCTTTCAATGAATGAAAGCTCACGCTGAATATACATAGGTGGCAAACTACCTTTGAGTTTCTCTACCTTTCAACTTCTTATTCGCACGTTCCTCAGTCCGTTCTTCTTCCAGTTTCGGTTTTTTTGGTTCGATTAGTGCACTTCCTACAGGCATTTCTGGTATCTGAAATTAAGCAGTGGACGCTGACAAGTTTAACAGGCCAGTTCCAATCAGCATTTACTTTCTCGAAGTTCTTTCAATCAATGAACACTAATTTTAATATTCAACTGAAACAAATCTGTCACCTTCACATTCGAATCACTTTTATCGAACAGAGATGATGCCGTATTCGATGGTGTTTCATCACTGTCATCAATACTATTGGGAGCCTTCTTGCGTTTTGTCCCTTTCCTTTTCTTGGACGATCTTTTTGGATCAGTTGAATCGTTGGGCTCTATATCAGCACATCCACCACTCAACAATGTTGTCAGCGCACCAGGAACGTACTCAGCGCCGTTCATTTCGAATCGACAGCCTCTGGAATCAATGACAACAATTTGGATACTCGCTGATCAATTAAAGTGTTATGTTCTGTTCTGCCGAATTGGAAACTAATAGCTTTAGTACGGTGCGTACTATCGGGTGTTGAACAGAGACATCATTCAAGCGAAGCTGATACTGGGGTATATTTTTGAGGTTGCAGTTCGTCATTTCAGAATCAACCTGGGCTCTTGCACAAGTCTGAACCTCAAATGCGATGTAGAGCTTGCAGGTAATTTAGCGAGAAAACTTTATAAGCCACTAAATTTTAAAAAAAATGCCTTCGGTGGTATATGGGAGCTAAATTTGAAAATTGATGAACAAAGTCGGAAGTCTAGAAAGTAAGTGACTCTTCCGTGAGCACAGTAGTTCGTCTGCTTGTTTTGGTGGAAGCGTTCAGGATCTAATGTCACAGATCTTGTCCGAACCCTTGCATAAAGCACACGCCCATTGACATCCAAAACACCGATGTTCTTCATTTCCATCCAATAAAAGTCTCTGGAATGGAGTGCAGCAGATAGCCGGTTCGCCAAACGAACACTCCGCCAATTAAATGCTGTAATTCATGTTCAAGAGAAGCACTTAAGATCGGTAAGTGCTTGTCTTGCTATCGAAGGAATTCCCATGGCCATATTACAACTGTTTTATGAAGACCGCTCAGAAGAGTCGAACGAAACATGTGCTATCTCAGAAACATCGATATGCTAAGGTTACCCCAGTCAGTGATAAATATGTTGAAACGAATCAAAGTGGCGATTATTATAGCAGGATATTGCATGCATTAAATTTGGGTTTAAGCTGAAGCGCATACCAGAGAATCATCCATTCGTTTAATATATATCTCTACTCGCGTAGCCTCAGGCTAAGCCTCTGTCCAAAAGTAGTGCATCGCAATAACGGGTTGAGTAGTTGATATGGCCACCAGTGGAATTGTTAGACTTTGCAATTAATTTTATACGGAGAATCAAAGCTAAGTAGTTATTCGGATATATTTATTCTTTGAAACTCAGTTAAATCCAATGTGGAATCTATATGGAATTGGGAAAAGGAACAGGAGTCATATCATGCATTGTACTTCTCTCCAAATTGCATTATTACGATGGAGAGATGAACTATGATAATAAAATCGAACAAGGTATAACATGTGATGTAAAATAAGTCGGAGTATGAGACATCACAAGGAACTGCTCATGGTTCATTGAAAGGGTGTATATCTGCAGTGATGACGAAGATGATTCAACAAATTGAACCGACGACATTAATTACTGAAGTATAGAAAACCAGAAAGTTATATGTCATACGATGATATTAAATCAAGGTACAGTGACTGATACAAATCAAATGTATACTAAATATTTGTGGTGAGCAGTTATTCGGATGTGACTGTGAACCTTTTCAGTTTATATTAAATAATTGTATAGGTTACTTACTTTGTTGCTAAACAATGGAAGGATTCCTATATCATACTAGATAAATACCAACAGACTTCATACTAAACCAAAGTTTCATACTGAAGTAGATATCACTTCTGTTTACATTCTATCAATAATATTTGAATAGTATTGTTACTTTAATGATAAATATGAACTCAAAACGACTCGAATCTCTTCAACAGCAAATTCATCTACTTCGACAGCAATTACAATGCGAATGGAATAAGCTGTCCGACAAATCAGGTCCAACTCACCACAATCATTATTGTTTTTATTGAGTAAGATAGTACTGATGGAGCATTAAACTAATGTTCGGTACCAATGTCATGATAGTATAGTGCCATAATATTAAAATATTATTGTTAGTTCTGATGGTGTATTAAACTAATATTTGGTGCCATTGCCATGAATCTGATGTAAATTGTTGAAAAGAATGATCTTGCAAACGTATGTTCTTTTTCAAGAACACTTTTAGCTTAATTACCTTCACTGAAACATTGTTTCCATGTCGCTTTAAACCATGAACCCAACCAAACGGCTTTAGAAACAAATCCAAAAGACCATAATACTTGACTGCTGTATAAATCTCCAGCTTCAACAAAAGTTGAAGGTAAACAACATCAAGTCTGATCTCATAATCGTCAACAGAACTTGCAGTGCCATATGCACTGTCTGTAACGAATTCAGATCCAAAGTTCAATAAGGTGACTCGTTAACACACAAATCACTTCGACTGATCAATAATAATGTCGAGTAACTGGAAACTATGAAGCAATTAATCAGATATTTTCAATTCGCATTTGAAATACCCATTTACGTGTGCCACTTAATTCTCCATTAAATGCATGCATGTATGCTTGCCTACAAACCACTTCGCATTCAACTGTCACATCGCATCAAGGAAATCTTGCATCATTCCCAGTTAAACATAATATTTATCATTCACAGCAAATCTCTCCATTTTTATATTCTCTCTCACAAGTTATTATTGCACTTTTCCGTTCCATTTTTCTACCATTCATCAAGCTGAAACAAATCAATCTGCAAATTGTGGTTAATTGCTCATCAAAATAATGAATTGATGTTCTGCCAGTACTTTCATTATTAATGTTGGGGCTTCATTTTGAATCTCTCCATTTGCAACTATCGAATGATTTGACGTATTCCGAATTAATTTCGACATTGCAAACCTTCAGCAGGAGTGCATATTGGAAATTATGCTTGAATGTAATTTTAGCATTCTTTCCAGACCATACCAACGAAAGTTCAGATTCAGTTAAAGCATCAACGAAAGAGTGTTGAATTCTCCTTTCATTCAAAATCTTTCAGAGATCGTCTTTGAATGGCCACCAAATTGTCCAATTGAAATTCAAGAGCTGGTAGGTCGTGAACGTTTTGATTCAAAGAATCCGAAATATATGATGCCATTTTTCTGGATCAAGGAACCGATTCCAGCTACTCGATCGTGGTACTTTATTTCAATTCAATATTATTTGTTTGATGATATTTACTTCGATAATGGCCGCTGATCATTTCGTGGAATGAGTAATTCGGGAACAATTTGTGTGAACTCACAATATGTAAACTCGAATTAGCTTCTCCGAAACATTTCTTCGAAACCAATCGATTATATAAAATGAACAGTCGATGATAATGCATTTATGAAGTAATGAATAAAATGCAGTGAATATAGATGTGCTTAAAATAAATCGCATCATTAAAGGAATGTATTTTTTCGACAATATCTTCAAAAATAATTGAGCAACCAAAATTTGACTCTGATTACTCTATTGCAAACAAACTTTTTTTGAACTGCAAAGATGTGCTCTCGAAATTGATTAGCATCAATTTGAAGTTGATTACGAAACACTATCGTCCGATTTTTGCAAGCGAACCCCCGACATGGAAGTATAATATTCGCTCAGCTATATGAGTACAAAATGACGACGCAACTCTGAAAAAGGTGAAAACTTTGAAGCAACGTTAAATACTGCTATTGCAGGGCGGTAATAGTGTGTGGTATAGAATGTGCGTTTGGACTGATATGTTTGTTATTCAATATGCTTCATTTCGTTCTTTATTTACCGTCCTATAAGGGTGACGGTATTCCTGGACTGATTTGCTTCGTCACGTTCGTTCAACTGAGCATATTTTACGGGTACAAAGTAGGTTTTTTGCAGCTTTTGCTACATTATTTTCCATTTTCATCCATCATTCTATTTACAAAACAAATTTTATTGAGTATCGTCGATGAATGTGTTTAATGATTACAATTATTTGAAGGTTTTATTCATGATTGCAATCTATGAGAAACGCGCTCGATTGTTTGAACATCAGCTTATATTTCAATATGCGACTTGTGTCTTTCTTTTGTTGAATTCATCATTCACACTGGCTGCTGATTTCGGTGGTTTTCATGAGGAATATTTATATGCGCAGAAGAATCCGTTGTTGATTCGTTTCACTGCACTTTTGTCGATTTGTTTCATCTTCGTTCAGCTGTTCCTTCGATTCATGACTGTACCAGTTTTTAATTTCATTAACGATACGAGACACTTCCAGTGATTTCTTCTTCTCTTTGTCACTTATTTTGTTCTATTTCATTCGCTATTTGACTAGATTTATTGTTGTACTCATAATTTTCAAGAACTAAATTCAATTTCGAATTGTGAACTTGGTTATGGATAGTAATTCACCTTTAATTGTTCCGTTTCAAGTTGTCTGACGCTTCTTGCAAAAAATACACTACTTTAAGAGATCGTCAATCAGTCGTAATTCACTTTGCATCAAACCACATTTTTACCATGATGATAATAATGTTGCAGAAAAACGATAGAAAGCTCAAAATGGCGATATCGCAAACGCGTCTTTTTTACGTATTGTTCGATTATGCAAGAGAGCATCAAAAACACACCGAAAAAGGTTAGCGAACTGCATTGTTTGTTCATTCAGTTCAAATTTTAGTGTTTGACTGATGAATGACAGTTATTCTATCGTATAATCCAGTGGTTCTCATAGGGAAGGAAAACTGACGATTTCTAAGAATTTTTGCAATTATTTCATGGTTATGAGAAAATCAACCAACATTAAATTTTTTTAGAAATTATTTGGCAACTTTGAAATAATTGTTCGATGAGAAGGAGGTGGTTCCTTCAATACGACCATTAAATTCTTTGTAGCAAATTCCTTGATCATTGGATCATTTTTTTGATTCTCTCCTGAGTTTTCGCTGATGATGAGATGTTGTCAAAGAGGGGGAAGGGAGAGGATGAATGATGGTCGTTCACGTCGTTCGAGGAGAAAATAGCTGTCTATCATATGGCACTGAGCACGAGAGCGTGAGAATCACTAGTAAAACCAAGTGGAAAATATGGCTGTGCTCGGAATTGGCGATAAATCCAGAGAATTGTTCATTATTGTTGTCGGGAGAAAACGAAGAAATCTAAAGGTGTTCATTTCGATAAAAAAGAAAAGGATCGACAGCAATCAAGGGGAGGCACGGAGCAAGCAAGGATGAAGTTTTGACAATGACTAATTTAGGCGAACCCAGTGATAAGGAATGAGGTTGTTAACTTAATGTGAGGTTAATGTGAGCTATGAAGATGATGAAGCCGGGAGGCTAATAAAGGAAATTTGCGGGTCAACATTTACGGGTATCTTAACAGCGATGCATTTATAGTAAATCTGTGTATTGCGCATTGAGCGTGGATGGATGGGATCGTGAGATTGATTGGCTGTTTTTAGATACGAAATTCAAGCAATCACATTAATGATTACTATTGGATGTGATACAGAGGTTCATTTACTTACATTAAGAATTAACTCGCTAATGCGCCACAAATATCGTTTTTTAGCGCCGATTCTTTTAGTGTATTCGATGTTCGAATACACTAAAATCTACATCATTCAGTAATGAAAGTTACTGAATAATGGGATGAAATATCTACAGCCATACACCAACGAAACGATGAAACTGGTTCTCAATTTCAAAAAGCTCTCATGATTTTCGTTTCGCCGTTTGAAAATTTCGTATATACTTACTGCAATCAAAAGTGAATTAGTTGCATTGTATCACCGCTAGACTGAAATTATAAAATACTGAAGGATAATTATATTTTTATTCGAATGAATGAAACGAACACCAATCATCGGCAGTTTCATGTTTTCTAATAAAAATTATATGAAGTTCAAATTTCATATAAGTTTTTCTGCATCACGAGGTGTCATAATGGTTTGACTCAAAGAGTAATTGAGGAGCGGCAAATATTCTGCGTTGAGTAAAAAATTTCATAGCAGAAAAATGCTCCATTTAGCTAATCATCGATCGACAATAATCAACTATAGTATAACAGTGTGAATGGTATAATGATGAACTTACAGTTGATGTGAACAATAAAAATTTAGCGTATTACATCAACACTTATTCAGCAAGGCTTTGCGATTAAAAACGAGTGCGAGGGAAAGCGAGAGGATAAGACTGTCGAAAATGAGGATAATAATGAGCAGGCAGTACATTCATCGACAACGTTGCAACCACAAGAGGACAACGAGAATCGTGTCTTTATCTTTCAAGTACGAAAATGTGCTTTTTCAATTGGCCAATCGAAATGCACAGAACGTTAATCTAAAATGGAAATTTCGCTTGTTTTGAAAGTGTAAATATTTGAAACAGAACTTTTGCAAAAATACCGATAGTGAGTTCCGTTTACAAGCAAATGAAGCATTAAAAGTAAATTCCAGTAGCATTCTTCGTGTAGTTTATCCACATCTATATCTTTTAGCAAAATACATGATCACCAATTTGATGATTTTAGCAACGAAATGATGAGCGAAAGCAGGAAAACAATTTATTGAATAATGCAAAGTTCTTTTTGCAGTCGAATGCATCCGCGTCTGGCTTTAGTAGGTAAAAATTGTCACCTTCCGTTATAGAAATCAAAAACAAACAATTTGTTAACATAAAGTTTACGAGTAATTTTCATTGAAAACAATCAAAATTATCAACGAAAAAAAAGTTAATGGAGTGAGCAGCTATCTACCGTCACCGGGACTTTATTCTATGGCAGCTGACCTATGGACATTCGACATTTGGCATGATGTCTGGATTTGAAATCCGATAGACTAAATGTCCATAGGCTGAATATTCGAATATGCACAAAGCTTTTCGATAACCGCCCGTTACGTGGATCAGATGTTATTAAACTAAAGATTCATGTTCTGAAACTGTATGATAACGAATATTAACCTTCAGATCCTATCATCAACTGCCACTTGACCGGCATCAAAAATCGTGCAGTCAAAATCCTAGAAAACGAGCGCATTCATCAGATTCGAAGTATCGTCATTGTCTATCACCGCACCCGAAAAAACGTTCCAAGAAAATCCTTTTCAAAAGTTCGTCGAATTATTCGAGCATTCCGTTGAGGAATATTGCACCTTCAAGCCATGTGGATGTTATCTCATTGAAACGATATCGGAACAAAAACAAAACCGATGAAGGATTAGAAATCAAATTGAATATCAGTACAAAAAATATTCGTCGTGTTTTCAATCAAAAGAATCTTCAAGATCAAAGATGTTTGTCTGCTCCATTGCTTCATTCATCGCCTCAGTGAATAAAATGTCCTCTTCAATTGTGAAAATATTCATCCGCATGGAATTTTTGCAAGAAAAACTGTCTAGAATTTTATCGTACATATGAATTTATTCGTAAACACTTGTTTGCTGTTTGGAAGATAAGAAAAATTTTTTACCAGTAAAAGAATGGTTTTCATCCAATTTCGTTTTTTGCCTTTGCACTCTGAATTGCTATCTATGGAAATTTGAGAAAGACTGTTGTTCTAATTATTTGTTTTTTTTTTCACGCAGAAACATATATATTTGTGTCTGTATTCATTTACTATCTTGTTTGGTCATGGTCAGTGATTTGTTCATTCGTTCATTCCTTTTTCCACTTTTCTTAAAATAAATTACTGATAGTCCAGTTGAAATGAAGACGATAATTGATGAAGACGATAATGAAGACGATCTATATCAACAATAATTGATAATTTTTCCTGCTATAATATTAGATCTGATAGTTCATTTCATTAGCTGTTTTCAGTTGTTCGTTAAGTATGGAATTTTCAAAATTTTCGCTGAAACTGTCCGAAGCTTGTTCACAGATCTAATATTCTATTGTCTGTATGCGTATATTGAAATTGGAATTGCGTTTTTTTTTTCAATTGGCATATTTCCTTATGCTTGAAAAAACTTTTTTTCTCATATAGATCCCAGCACACTCATGAGCTTTTGCGATGAATATATGAACATATTTTCACATGCTCGTAATTTTGTCTAACACGAATTGTCTTGTGAACGCATGTTCTATATCAACAATAATTGATAATTTTCTTAGGATGAGAGCCTGTTGAAAATGTTCTAGAATACGAGAAATGCATTTTGCACATTCGGTACCGTCACCATCAAATTGGTCATCCTCTGATTGTTGCAAATGTCACGGGCACATCCTGTTCATTCGTTTGATAACCTACTATATGAGAATTTCATAAAGTGAGATGTCATATTAGTGTCTGCATAGAATCCTGAGATGTCGACTTTTGAATCCCGATCCTGATACCGGAATTTGTATTCTGAAAATTTCCGCGATTTCGAAATTCGATATAACATTGTATTTTCTATAATTGCGGGAATACGTCTTGAATTACGCATCGATCATTCCCAGTTTGTTCTTATTCGATAATATTTGTTGTTTATCATCCAAAAGCGAATCAATGGATAAAGCATCACATAATAACGCTTTCGGTTTTAAGAAAGCACTGAATGAAAATCTCATAATGTCCCCACTCTTGCTCCGTCTTTCGTCATCGCCGTTGCCTTGTCTTCAGCTTTCCAATCCCCACATTATTCTGGAATTGAGGAATAATCCCGGGATTGCAAAATGATCGAGGTTTTGCAAACGCTGCATCATATAATCGTAATTCCTGATTCTACGTGTAAGTAAACGAAGTGGTATTGTGTTCAGTTTGCTTTCAATAAGCAGTTACGTCTGTTCGCGTTGAACTGTGCTTGTTTAGCTGAGATAACATCGTTCGTTACTGTTTTACTGGTACTGATTTTACGTTTACGTCCGATGACGTTCCAAATTATTCATATTAAAACTGGTAATGGTATGTTTCATGATTTAGCAAAAGTATTGAACACTGATCGCTGTATGTCTCTGGGATGTAGTGTCAGTTTGAAATCAAACTTTCATTTATATCGCTCCGTTACTGTAATTTTTTTGAAGACAGATTTAAGACTGGTACATCGAAGAGGAAAACTGAAAAGGGTGGCAAAATTCTTCAGAACATACAGTAACTCGCATCTCAAATATGTGCAGAAACTTCCATTACCACGTCAAAGAATTTTTTCCTGTATATTAGCCGTATTTAAATCCTTCTACTGATTACGTCTAGAGATGAATGCTCACCAGAACCTCTGAGAGTAGTACTGATAAATGTTATCTCTGATGCTTTTTCATTGCATTGATCAACCGAAACAACAATTTACGATCGCTCAGCGACGGCAAAAACTTTCATTTGCCACTGAGCACGAACCAATTGTAATGAAACGTATTCGTGCACTGCGATCGGATACTGTTTTCTGTGTTCTCTGCAATTCTCCTTTCAGTTTTACTTAATCCCTCAACTTAAATAATATGCCACACAACACTCACATAACAAACAATCAGTTTTATACAATTACAATTATCATAACTGAAATAACTTTTAAAATGGTGAAACGATTAAACAGAAAATGTATCAATAGTTGAACGCACACTGAATGCTGGCGGAATTGGATGGAAAGATGCTGATGACAAAACGACAACTTGAAAGTGTATATTCATGACAATAATAATAAAACTAATAACAGACATAACCATCGTTATGATAATAACGGAAACAATGTGTGATGAAATTGTTGTTGTTTAATCTCCAGCCTTCACTAATCGTGAACATCTTCCAACATTAAAGGAAACTCACTCGTTGTTCATAAGCTTCACTCATGTTTGCTCCCATAAACGCAACAGATTATAGGCGAAATCAGAAAAGACTTCAGGAAAACGAGATGGAAATGATTGATGTGTAATTCGAGAAATGGGATAGGATATTGATTTGATTGGACGGGGACTGAATACTGTATTTGTCAGGCATGAATGTGTATATCGAATAATTTTAATCACCTTACTTCATTGATAGTCATATCATATCATATAACTTACAGTATCAGTTCATGAAGACAATAAAAATAATTATCACTGAAATGAGAAAATGAAAAATGATAACGAAAACGATCACGATTAATTGATAATGTGGTATTTTCACTGCATCAGCATAACATCAGTTAGAATCAACATAATTAAAACAAATTTTTTTGTGTAACTCAAAATCGAAGAAATAATTCCATTTCCTTTCAGGTGTGCGATAAAACAAAACAAAATCGAATAGCATAAAATGGTAAACGATTTTTGAATATTTGTCTGATCTGATGGATAGGAAGAAGCTTCGAAAAGCGAAATTCAGTGCAATCAGAATGAAAATATTTGAAAGAGAGAATGATAAGAGTGAGTGACACAGCCAATGTGAGACAACAGCAGTTTATGATCATCGATGCATGAAATAGACAGATGAATGAAGAGGAACGGTATGTGATGAGGATTGAAACGTTGTGTTTCAACGACCAATTCACTTCAATTGTACGTTTATCTGAACATACACTCACTTGTACACATACATTAATGCATTTAATATCACAGGGTGATAACAAGCCTCCAAGGGATACTCAAAACTGTTTTTCCATTCGTTCATAACATTAACTTCTCGCAGTAGCAATGAAACGAGATAAATTAGATAAAAATCGAACTATTTTGTTTGTAATCTATTCTTTTCACTTCACTCGAGCAAATTTGAAATATCGATTCCCAAGAGTTTTAGATACGTTTGAAAACAACAAATTTTTGATCCACTATTATTAACATCATTATGGGTGAAACTAAATTAACAATTATCTTGCTGAATCAACGTTCAACCGTTGTTGTGGATGACGAATAAGTCGCACATAATGAATGAATAAATAGCCAAATAATTTAGCCGAAGAAGATGGATATGAGAATCGCTGACTGTAACATTACACTGACACTGACAAGCAGCACAACGGGTTCGTAAACATGTAATGAAATATGTATGTGAAATATATGAGAACATGCATTCTTATTTGAAAAGACAGACTAACAACTGCAGGATGGCATTCATTAAAAACAAAAATGTATGTAGCACTCTGTGATAGCGATAGCAGTATCAATCATATTCGATCGCGGATGAAGTTATTACTGAATTATTATCATTATTATTACAACCGTACTCTTGCTCCCTACTCATTCATCCATATATTCATCACAAAAATTCCTTTCAACGCTTTTGCGTTCGAAAACAAAACCAAGTTTCAATAGCCCGCAGAAAGAACAAACGGTGAGGACGTCAGCAGTAACGTGGCGACACTATCAACAAACTTAATAATAATGATAATGCAGTAATACATCTAAAAGAACTTCAAATTGTACAACACACACCACATACAATTAATGCATACTGATACTATGCTGCCTGTGTATGCGAGTGATTATCAATCCAATCAAACCAACAAATACACCACTCAATTAATCAGCGAATCAATTATGGTTCACCAACGTATTTCCTAGCCAATCGTCCTCCTTCTAACTCTAATCTGACAACCTTGATCAATTCGTTCTTTTTTTCTTATCTTATCCATCCTCATCTCAATCTAAGCACAATCCGATTATTAGTTTCATCTAACTAACCAACAAAAGCAATCCCTCCTGAGGCAGATAAATAAAACAAAACAAGAATGAATCTGTTATAAGCTAACACCCTCATCTAATCACCTTATCAACAAAGATTACTGTTCATTCCAAATAAACGATATTAAACGAAAAAAAAACAATTGATGCCCACTGTAAGGGTAACAATCAACAGTAACAGTATGAAATGATAATTTCAAAAACGCATTAAAAATTAATAAAACGAAATAATAATAATAAATAATAATTGATTCATGATCTGTTCTTTAGTTGGTTGCTAAGCCAATCAAGTCCCTCATAAAGACCGTCACCCGATGTTGCGCACGTTGCTTGTATATACCAATTACGATTACGTAGTGTATGTAGACCCAATTTATCAGTTACTTCGGCAGCATTCATTGCGTTTGGTAGATCCTTTAAAACAAACATCATATCTCATTATCAATCAGTAAATGAACAAGTACTTATGAAAACCACCATTAAGAACAATAGCAAAGAGATAAGAATGAGAAAGATAGTGTTCCCATACAATGTTATTCGTCATTCACACATTAATATCAAGTATGATAATGGCAAATGAATAAACGAATCAACTCACCTGCTTGTTGGCAAACACGAGAAGTACCGCATCACGAAGTTCATCTTCAGCTAACATACGCATCAACTCTTCACGTGCTTCACCAACACGTTCTCGATCGTTGCTATCCACTACGAATATCAATCCTAAATGACAATTACGTTCACTTATTCAATATCAATGCCAACCATAACATAATTACAATTACAAAGTCTACTTATATTAAAAATGTGATAAATTGGGATGCCAAACCAAACTTTATTTCATTAAACGTTTGCGCAGTTACAGAATACAACTAAACAATACACATGAAGTATCAACAAAAAAACTAAATTGACCTTGTGTGTTCTGGAAATAATGTCTCCATAATGGTCGGATTTTGTCTTGTCCTCCCACATCCCACACTGTGAATGAGATGTTCTTATATTCCACGGTTTCGACGTTGAATCCTCAAATAAAAATTCATTATAAATACAACGCTACATTTATACTCTGAATAATGAATATAATCGGGTGGAACTGAACTGACGCAATCTGTCTAAAACTTATTAATAATTTGCATCAGTGCGTTCAGCCAGAATAAAATCACTCACATTAACGCTTCAAAAATATCAGAATACTGAACCTTAATTGGATAATCGTCGTGAACTGCCACAAACAATAAATTACTGTGGAAAACCACATCGACTTTCCGATAAATAATAAGAATGAAATGAAGTATTGAAGTTCTTTCAAATTCGCAAGCAAGATGGCAGAAATATTCGCGCGAGGTTTCTCTCTCTCGCTGATCCACAATCAAAAAAAGTAAAAACCAAAGGATCGCTTATCAAAATACGATCCTTTGTTCTACGACCACTCACACTCTTATACACACTTAATGTTGAATGAGTAAATATGTATTGTGAAAGAAGAGAACAAACACTGAACTACTAAACCAGACAAAGTATGTATATATAACGACACTGTCAATAAGATGATGTGATGCTGCTATGCAATACGAGTATACGTGATAACGTATAATCCAAATACCACAAAAACAATGCCTCTTACAAATTATGCACGTCTATTTATATATTCCTTATTATCGATCTATCAGCCATCTATTTACTAGAGTACATTTATACATTTGAAACTCGACAAATGACATATCTCACTCAACTACACACTGCAACCATAACGCCCGGCCAAAATACTTACCGCATTTTATGTGTTCACCATTTCAGTCATATTGTTCCACTTTATAACAAACACTCAATTACAGACAGCCTCAAATTTTTCCCTATCATTCAATCTGATTGAAAAAGATCTCATCATTCCAACAGTAACCACTCGTTTATTTCATTCATTTGATCTGATGATGAACACAAACAAAAACAAATCAAGAAACAATAAATAATTTATACCAATTGTAGGAATTGTTGTAACAATCTCTCCCAATTTGAGTTTATAAAGAATTGTCGTCTTACCAGCTGCATCCAAACCCACCATTAAAATTCGCATTTCCTGAAGGCTTATTCCATTTTAGACAAAAACATCAACAGCACTCTACCTCAATAATTTATTACAAGTCTGCGAAAACATGGCTGAAAAAAGAAAAAACGATAGAGAGGAAAGTAACCTTCTTGCCGAAAAGGCCTTTGAAAAGATTGGTGAATATGTTACCCATTTTGATACACGATAATGAGATACGCCGCTTCTAAGCTTTAAGAATATCGAGCCAAAAAACAGGAAGGACCCAAATCTGGGCTGAAAAAACGAATTTATCTAAAAGAAGACAAAAACTGAATGGAATGAATGGCATCAGCGCTGGCGATGTTTAATTTCAACGACGGTAATGAACCTGATAAAAGCAAAAGTCAAATAAGAGTACATTTGGAAAAGAATGATAAATTGATTGAAGAAATGAACGATTAAAAATCAATCGCCTGAAAACAATGGAAAGGAACCATTACTAAATAAGAGAGTAACATAAAATAGAAACATCATCACAAAAATGGAGATATTCGATTCGTTTATCATCCTCGCCGCAATATTCGAATAATCAAAAATCAATGACTCCGACTTATCGTTCATGCTTTTCAGAGAATCTTTTGTTTTTATCGAAATGCACTGTCAACAGGCATGACAGAATTTTTGAGGTGCTCCAATTTTATCAAACTGCTTAATAAATCATTCACTTCGTTGAATTGGTTATTTGCGCTTTCAAATGAAATTACACCAATCGATAAAAATATCGCAATAAAATGCATCCGTTGGGAGGCAACAATTTTTTACTCATGTAGATGAATCATTACATTATGTGATTGAACTAGTAGAATCAACAAAAACAACTTCCCTTCGAAACTGGCAACCGACAGGAAGTTACAACATAATGTATTTAATTCTCAAAATTGACGCATACTTCTTCACGAAATCAGACTTTTGAATAAGAAATAGGTTCGACTTTATCATGTTAATGAGAAAGTCTCGCCTAAAATGCGGACTGCAGAATTCGTTTGGATTCCACGATCCTACCAACATAATACAATTGATTCACTGATTTCGCTAGAGTATTGGGTGCGATAGTAATCCGCGCACAACATAAACTGACTTGGATTTTCTATCGACTGATTCAATCGGAGAAATGCCCTCACGTTTGCACTCACGCTCACATACGCATAAAAACATCGACATTTTTGAGACGACTGAATAACTTATTTTGCAATGATGGCACCGCCACGAATGATTTACTTCATATGCGACGTCATCATATATTAACAGATAGTTCCAAAAATCACTCTTGAAATGACGAAACTATTCTTTCACAACACAAACGACTACTTCCAAACACTCGGTTAAGAAAACAGTTAATGCAACTATACATCTTCGTCAACTGCTTGCTCCCTGACCACTCGCCAAAACACAGCACTGCAACAGTAATTACTTTTTTCATATGTATCAAATTTTTTGTGATAAAAACTTGCAGAAAGTTTATATGCAAAGTTAGAAATGGACGTTTAACGTTGACTTTTGGTTGGAGAAAAAGAAACGGTACTTTTGCTGATAACGGGCGCTACCGTGCCATCACAGATGCTCGTGTGCTTCACACATAAGTCGAAGCCTATGCGTTAGCCCCATCACTGGGCTAAGCGCAAGTGTAAGCTTAAGCATAATCCTGATATGACTTCGAATTGCATATATACACATGGAAAAAGCGACTATCTAAGCACACGCGCACAGTGGCGCCTGTTATCAGGACAAATGCCAAAGAAACGCCTGAATCCCAATGGATGGACGAAAGATAACCACGCAAACATTTTGACGATGGCAAGTGATTTTTGCGTTAATCTGAGCGGGTAAAAACTTATTCCAGATTTCGGAATTCATAGAGGGTAGTTAGATACATGAATTTTCGAATGCATAATCATGAACGAAGAATGTATACCAAAAAATATTGTACAAAATTAACGTGTAAAGAATCAAACATTCTCGCCAAATGGGCTGATTCTTGTCATAACATCGATACTGGTGCAATTCGAACAAATTACTCAAGTTTTAATGATTACTTTCACGAAGTAATTTCCACCGATCAATCAATAAACTACTCATTTCACCACCAAATCTACCTGAATGTATGAATAAGACCGGCAATTTTCTTTGATCTGCGCCAAACACGTCAGCCACAACGAATCATTTCAATCGCTTACAATACATGCACATCTCCTCGTTTTGGCTCTTTTTCAATTTATTGCATTTCTCTTTTTTCCTTTTTTTTGGTGCAATCGTGAGGGTGTTTTCCTGTTTGCGTTTTAAAATAGTTGGTATATTAATGGAGAAGAGAATACGATTAGATATTGTTTTCAAGTATTTGCTGTATCCTTCGTTATTGAGTTAAGTCCGTTTGAAAACAAGGATCGCGAAATAAATGAAATGATGATTTCGAAACGTTCAGCGAAATCGTTCTTATGTTCTGATAAGTTTTCGAAATTTGATTTTGTGTTGAAATGTGGAAATGTTAATAAAAATAATGCATTTAAAGAATGTCATCGATATCAAAAAGGCAATTACCTGAATCAAGTGAGATGAGTGATTCAGATGCTATTCGGCATAGCCGCAGAAAATATACCCGTTTAGAGGGAACGAAAGGAACGGCTGCTGCTGATTTATTCGAGCATGATCTTGATGAAGATAAACCCCAAAATGATAACTGTGGTGAATATAAATCAAAACATACATTGGATAGTGATGAAGAAGAGGACATCAAGTATACGAAACTCGATATTGACAAGGTTTCTTAATCTATCCGTTTGCATTTTTCAAATATTCCAAATGAACGCAGCTTTTTGTCGATACTGGAAATTTCAATTTGTTGGCTGAATGTATGAGGTCAATTATTCATGAAAACTTAATGTGTGTCATGAAGTTATCTCCGTGCGATATGGGGATGATTTCGGATGATTAAATTATTCTGACCATAAGTACAACAATCAGAGTGATTTTAGGTCGAAGGACAAGAAGAGGCCGGAATCGAATTTGAAGGCAATACAAAGATAACAGCATTCAATATGAAAGAGGATCTTGAGGATGGTCATTTTGATACTAATGGAACTTTTATTTTCAATAAGGTCAGTGTAATCGTTCAATGATCACTTCATTCACTTTTTCTTATATAAAAGCTTTTTCGGCTCTCGACCAAACCGTATTCTCTTTGTTTGACGTTTCTCTTTGTTTGTTATTTAAGTATAATGTGAAATAAGCAAATCATCTTGCAAAGTTATTCTGCAAAATAAATTATCATTCAATACGTCAGTTACAGAAAGAACGTGATATAAAAGATGCCTGGCTTGACAACATCGATTGGGCGCATATCAAGAAAAGAGCTGGTAGTAATTGGAACAAAACTGATGTTAGTCGATCCAGTACCAGTTTGCTCATTTGATATTAGATATTCGTTTCACTGAACGTTAGTATCACACAATTCTGCGTGTCGTCCGCCTAACTTGTTCAGTTAAATTTGCAAGGTTAGATTGTTTTTTGCAGGAAGATGATAATGATGCTGCAGTTAAAACAATGGACGATGATGAGCTGAAAAATGTTTATGAAAAGCTGTTATCGCTGTTACAACCGAATGAAAATATTGAAAAAGCGTTGAAGAGGCTTGGAAAACAAAAGCGTTCGTTTCATATATGTTTTTCTTGGGGATATATTTTATTTGAATTTTGATTTTGTTCTATCTTCCATCATTTATGATGTTAACCACGTTTTTAAAAGTATGATTCTGAAGGATTTCATTTTCATGGCGTCCCAATTTTTAGCGTCAAGCACCAGCTGAAACGAAAGCTTGGCGTCATATCATGGTTTAATTTCTTCTCGCGGCCCTCTCCTTAACTTTTGAAAATTTTCAAGAATATTGGGCTTTGAAACTGTGAACAAGTTCAGTGCCTCTATTCAAACGTTGTGATATTGCAGTGAGCGCAGCTGAAGAGCGTAAACGACGTTGGGCTGCTAAAAGAGAAGGAAAAACGTATGAAGATGAAAGCGCATTGAGTGTGAAAGAATTAACTGGTTTGGCAGATTCGTTGGTATCGAAAGGTGAAATGGAAGCATATCAGTATACCAAGGAAAAATTGCAATTATTTATTAATCAGTTAGAAAACAAAGCAGTTGATGAAGTGGATATGTTCTCTGATAACAATCAGTCAACCTCGTCACCATCACACTCTAATAAAGGTTTTTGAGTTTGTTCACTTTACGAAACTTCTGTTTCAGTTTTCTTAAATTTAAGGAAATTCAGATGTGATGTCGATGCACACTTTTTGCTGTGTAATAATTTTATGTTCTGATTCGTTTTGCAGTGTTTTGTTTGATGCAGTTTTTTATCGTTCGGATTTTGAAATTCGGTGATAGCGAGCTGAAGTAAGCGTCATTTCTGGAGCCTTCACAGTGCGGTCAATGCAAATCGTAACGCATTGGGAAATCGTACCCTCCTTATTGTTATTACCCGATTGATTCTCATTGCGTCATCGCGAAACTGAAAGAAATCATTTGTAGATTCATCGTCTGTTGGAAAATCAGAGGTGAAGAACGATGCTGGGGATGTTGTTAAGTGGGAATATAAACTGTCCGAGAAAGAAGATGCGGAAATTCATGGACCGTTCAGCAGCGGGGAAATGTTAAAGATGCAAGAAGAGGGCAAATTTGAGGATGGTGGATGGGCAAGAAAATATGGAACGAAAACGTTTTACACGGTGGCGAGACTCGATTTTGATATATATACTTGACGAATTTGAATTTTCGTTCAAAATATCCCATATACCTAATATTAAGATTTTTTGTAGGAAATACTTTTGTTTTAATTGGTTGTAATTTGGAAGCGTGTAATAATTTTTTTGTTCGCAGTGATTTTGATTTGTTCGATATTCTTCATCGTTAATTATTCTATTTATTTTGATTGCTTTTCGTTTGAGTTATCTTTATTATTGTTGCTTGTATACTTCAAATTGCATTCTGGCAAAGATCGATGTAGTATTGGGAACTGGCAGCCATTGTGATGAGGTTATAAATAAACAAACTGTTACAATGTTCTGATCTCTTCTCATTTTTTCTGAATTCAAATATAAAAGCCCATTCCCTTACCTTGCCACCTTATCAAGCATGATTGTGAAGTGAACGATACACTTCCATTGCATTGATGAACTTTTTCAAGTTGTAATTTTTGCAATGAATTGTTGAATTTGAATAATTTTTTGAAAATATTTTTCACTCTTCTAAATTGAAAATTTTTGGTTCCGTTCAATTTTAAAAACGCGTAAAAGAGGTGATAAGAATATGTTGAATTATAAGACAACTCATCTGATTTGATTTGAACGTGGAATCTGTTGTAATCAGTTACTTGCAATCAGTGTCCACTGGCTTGATAAGTTCGTTCGTTATGATATCACTACATTATACTTTGTTGCATAAAATATCTTTGATCATTTCGTTAAGATTTCTTGTATTGAAATTGATATTGTGTTCAGTATCACTCGCTTTTATTTTAATATATCTCGGTAATTTGATGTGAAACTTCAACATTTTTTCATTTGAATCGATCATTTGTTGAATATAATTCTTTTTAATCTGATGTGGAAAATGATATTTATTTGGTAGGTCATTTGGTTGAATCCTATAGGGACGATTCACGAAGGTCAATTGAATCGAGAGAAAGGCAGAATGAAACTAACGGCAACCCAGCAGCATATCATTTCGCAGTCGGTTAATTGTCTCAGGATAGGCGTTCAGTGGGGTTTCGTTCCGTTTGTCCTTTATCTGGGTAAGTTTGTCGCATTTTTTGACGTTTATATTTCATTTTGTCATTGTTATTCATTATCAATTCATCAGAAAGACGCACTTTAAATATGTCGTCCTCTGATGTTGGTGGCGTTCGGCTGTGAACAAATAAAAATTTGCACTTACTCGTGGAGCACTAATTTTTTTAAAAATTTCTGGAGCAATTTCGGAGAAAAGAAAACTTTGTGAGGGAACGTTTTCGATGAGGATCGTACGTTGATGTTGTGACCCATTCACCATCATTTTATGTGATATCGAATCACGAAAATGATTTTCGCAATAAAGTACTTTGCAATTCAAGGTTTTCGACAAGGTGCAGAACCATTACCGAATGGACAAGTAGTACCTTTAACGTTGCTGAGTCTTCTATGGGGATAAGCAAATGAAGAATGGAACCCGATTTTTATAAACGAATAGCATTTGTTCATTATGGTGAATATAGAAACTATTTATTGACATAAACTAAAACTGTTGTTGGAACTATGATATTTATTTATTTCAATCTCAGTTGGTTCGTTACAAATCTGATAGTTGACGTGTAATAGTTGTTTTATCGATTGTGAGTGCAAATCTTTTCATTGCTTTATGAGTTGACTTTGATTGACATTGTTATCTTTATTCATCGAAATGATAAGAAATGAATGATTTTTTCGTGAATAAATTCAACTGATTTGTTTCATTATTTGCTTAAAATTTTATTGAATATCAATTCGTAATAAAAATTACATTTTGAATTCGTTCATTTGCATTACACAAAATCATAATTTCAAATATCATTAATAAACAAATCAAAATTCATTTCGAAAAATGGTTATGTGAATGTGCTAACTAAAAAAGACGCATTAAAACTCTTCAAAACCGTCCCTTGAATGATCCAATTCGAGAACGCTCCCGATAATCGCTTTTAAATGACTATGATGAAAATGGTAATTACGTAAATGGTAAGATGATGATAAAGTTGACGTTCAATAGAGCGATTCATGACACATCCAAATCTTATTCGTTCGGTAATCGCTAGTGATGTGCAAGATCCCTCGAGAGAATTATCAATTCGGATCTAGGTACTGCACAGTTGTTTTTTATCGAAGCCGGGCCCCTCTCGTGCCTAGGGCCGAAATTTTAGACAATGTGGAGCACGATCCGAAATTTTAGAAATGCGGGGCCGCAGCTGAGTCAAACTTTTAAAATTTGGGCATGACTGATATCCGAATATCATCAAACGATTTGTGAATTTCATGCGGAACACGGAAAGGGTAATGTCATTTGTGGATTTTTGCAGTTATTATTGAGGAGTAGGTAAAGGTTGTTGAGGTATATTCGGGACAACATTGCTAACAATTTTACTGTTAGCATTACAGTTGAGGGGTGGTAACGATGAACGGTACGTCATGACCATCATGAATGCAATACCCAATATTGACCACCAAAATAGTTCAAATAAAATCTCTTTAAGAGTCGGTAAACTATTCATTGTATTCTTATAGAACGCTTGACATTGCAGTTTCGGTTCGGTTGCAGTTGCAGCCATTGGAGATGTCACTTGAATATTGCCTTGTTCCGGTGTTATCGGAGTTGTTATCGGTGTGGTTGACTGCAATGGTAATGGCGTAATGCGCAGCATTATTGTGTTTCTAGAATCAGTTTCAATATATTATCCGGCCCTTGGCTAACACACTCGTCGTTAGGCTTTTATGTCACATAAAATTACAACTTTAAGCTCCATCGATTGATCGCAAAAATTGTGATTCTTTAGTCGTGCTATGCTTATAAAAGCAATCGCTTTTTCCTCCAATACAATGGTGTATTACAAGGACCGCGCGAATTAAGGGTGATCAGTGATGCGACGCAATGATCGCAGTTGGTCGCTATTTTTTCAAATACTTGCATCTTTCTTCCTCTCAGGAGAGACAATTTTTATGGACGACGGTAAATGAGGAAATATGGAATTGTTCGAATGAGTATTTCGTTTCTTATTATTCATTACTCACGCTTATATGTCAAAAAATGTGTTTTTTGAAACTGATTCATCTCCGAGTAGAAATTTTCGATTAGATACAAGAAAGAATATCATTCAACTGTTGTCCTATAAACGCATCAAATCATGCGTATAATGGGATGTAACGATAAAGGTTTATTTGTGCAGTGATCGAAATAAGAAGAGCACTTACTGCAGATATTCCGTTTCTCTGAATATACCCACATCTAGCGAAAACCCTGCGAAAAACAAAAGCACTTTTCCGAATGGAAACCCCGTCTTGGATAACCGCAAAAACATGTGTCTCAGGCTCATATTAAAGAAGAAAGTAGGGCGTTTCGAAACGAAACAAAAGATGGTGAAACATAAAACCTGTTCAAATTTATTGTATGGCTCCATCTCGAGATTCGTCAACGAGTTATCTGCATCTAAAAATATTTTCAGTTCATTCCTGCGACATGACTTTATCTTTATTTGCCTATTCATTACTGTACCTTACATGTGTGATTTTCAAAATATTAAATATTAATGAAATACAGTTAATAAACGATCAATTGAATACAACCTTCAACTGCTCCAAGATCCACTTCTATTTCTGAAGTCGCTGAGTTTGCTAGACGTTGTCTGCAATTTGCATTCTACGGGGTGAAAATGATTCAGTGGATCAGCTGATTGAATAAATTAATGATCAATTAACTATGATCAATAGATAATTAATGATCAATAAGTCAATCAAAGTTCAGGTACGAACCGATGTTTGTTATGAGAATGACGCTTAGACTTCCTCTTGCGATGTGGTTTACTTTTAACTGCTAACGGCCGTGGCGTAGACAATGGATCGCTGATTATGTTTTCAATACTGTTGTGGTTATCATCGGTGTTATTAAGATTAACTTTGCTGATGTCATTGCTCGTGCTGCTCTCATCGCTACTGACACTACTCCGACTTTTCATTCGAATACTTGATGTATACTCATCTTGTAACATATTTTCGTCAGACGGCGACGTTATATCGCTTATTTCATTCCAATCCCTCTGAATCGAAACAAATTATATGAAAGTGATATGAATGAATGGATGAATGAATGAAGATTATCATTCGCGCTTTGATTTGATTCGTAACTAGATGAGTGTTGCATAATTCGCACTTTAATCGTTATACGATTCAGCATCGTCTTTCCATTTATTACGGAGTACTAGTGTGATTATTCTCATTCTAACAAATGAGAATGTTTGCGTTGAATTCAGCAAAACTCTACTTGGGAGTGAAATTCAATTTGAACGGCATACTAACTTTCGCTCTATTCTAGTTGTTTCTTCAACTGAAATCTGCTCCGACTATCAACTTCGCAGGTCGATCGGTCAGAAATTATGAATGAAACATTGGAAAACAAAGAAGAAAGAATAGCTATTTTTTACGACGTTATGTGATCGCCGGGAATGTTTTTTTCGCGGGTGTTTCTTTTTTGTCATCACATCAGCATTTGCCGTTTTTTGACGGGATTTATAACCTGATTAAATGTTGAAAGTTATTTCGTCACATACCACAAATCAATGTGTACTGAATCATCACTTTTGGGCATATTTATTATTTTCGAAATGAGTCTTTCGAAAAAAAAAACCGTTGGTGTTGCCGAGCATGAGGCATTTTATGATTTTGATTGTACCTAATCATCCATTCCTTTGAAACAATAGCAAAAGTCAAAGCTGAAGCGATACTATGAGAATATAATATTCAAAAATTGTCAATATTAAAATATGATTTTGTATCACTCTCTCATTCTAAGTGAATCATTACGTTAACGATTCCAGAATTCCATTATAAATTACTAAACTTCATATGGGAATTCTGGACAGATAATATGAATGACTGAGTCAATTTGTCAAAAAAATGTACTCTTACCAGCTGGAAATACTTGGCGCCGTGATGAGTATGGTACGTAATCCTCCCAGCTTGGTGACATCCCTCTAGCAACTGGTACCTCCTTAAAACAGTTTTTTCCTTAAAACAATCAGTCTTCTTTCTAGATGCTTAGCGGTCCCATTTTCAAACTTCGTACTCCTTTTTGTAAAGGAATCTCATCGTGAATTTTGAAAAACGTTTCGAACAGAACCAAAAAATGTGATGAGAAATCTTTTGATGTGAGCAATTTTACAAATGAATTGCGGTGCAACAAACATTTCACAATAGCTCTATTTCACAAAATTTATTCAATTTATTATCATCGTTTTTCTTGTCTGATCTTATTTAAACGAATAAGTTGAAGGGCCAGTAGAGACCCAGAATGGAATTTTCGAGTGATTTTTCTAGGACACCTTGATTTTCAATGTCTGCACCCCTGATTAGATTGATTGAAAGCATATTTTTATTGCGCATCAAGCTGTAAGTTACGGCCTCAATAACTGCATAAAATAACGAATGCATTGATCTTGAGGATGTTCAGTTATTTCATCTGCAATTAAATAAAATACTGTTGTTGGAACCTTCAATGAGGCCGCATTCGCATAATCGGTTAATTTCCAAACATTTCTGTCAAGTCCATGATAATAGGATGAGTTGTCAACATTATCTGAACCAACATTAATCCCACCCTGATTTGGGTGGTTCACTGAGGGTATTTCTTCTGGTGACCTACAAACGATTTTTGAAAAATTATGGTGATTCAGTGCAACTTTTTTAGGCTTACGCAACTCTTGACTGGGATATATCTTCATTCAACGATAGGTATATTATTTTTTGAAAGCTCATTTTACATTTTGTTAATCATCAGCAAATTATAAATTACCCTATGCTTGAAAGTTTTGTAAATCAAATGAAGCACCTAATAGCTCTTTAAATGTGAATGCCCATTCCGTGACACTGTTGTCATATTGTAGATCACAATGTACAATAATCGAACACTAATAATTGGTATTCGCAGCTAAGATTTTCACTCGGAATCATTTAAAATATGACTCTGACGGCTCAGTTCATGTTCTCTCAGAATATCATATGAAGAAGTGTTTTCGTGGTTGAGCTTGAGCACATAAGTGATTTGGACGCAGAATAATGATCGTGAACAATATCGAATGAAAACCGTCACCGGATCTGACAAGAACCTGTCCTATCGTTGGCTGTTGCACGACGCAGTTCACGTGCTACGGCCATTACACGATTTGTTGGTGTATTTTCATCACTATTCTCTTCATCGAAGTTCCTCTAAAACCCCAAATCCATCATTTCATATCTTCTTGTTCCTTTTACCATTCTGCTATCTTACTACTCTACACATGCGACACGTCTGTATGAACCAAAAAGTTTGCCTTTCACGTAAAATCGTCAAACGATGTGCTTTTTTACTAAAGAAGAACCTGTGAACGCACTGCATAAGCTTGTGTTGAACCTGAGACTGTTCTCTGACTCTCTTTAGATTACACTCATCATTTTTCGTCTTCTGCACAAAAAGTACACAAATTTGTGAACTTCTATGCTGTATCATGAAAGCTGCCAAAGTATTTTGTGGATTTCGATTGACACATGTGGTTTTTGCTGGTTACTTTCCGTTCGTCCCTCTTCCCTTCATTCGAAACAGCTGTCCTTCTCAACTAAACTATATCCTATTGTGCTGCATGCATGTCCAAAACACCCATCTTCCTCCACACTTGATTCCTACGCACGAACGATACTAATGATGCCGTAGCCATATGAAAGTAAATTTTCATCATAAACTCAATCACAAATGTTGTAATTGCACGATTAACAAAATACTGAACGTAATCATATACCTGCTGATCACGTTTTTTCGACGGCTTCACCTTAAAATCGAAATAAACCTCACCCGACATCACCAAAATGCTTTATGGACACTTGAGTGAAACTGAGATTTATATGTCAATGTAAAATTATGCGCTGACTGACTCAAAGATTCTTTAGAAAAGAATATATGTAAATTTTGATATGAATTCTTTGCGTGCAAATGCGTGCTCTTTCTCCTCATTCCTTCGGGAATTATTATAAAGAAAATTTACTTCTCTCTGCATGAATCTGAATATTACAGAAAATTATATGAACAGTGAAATAAGCAAACAAAATACACAAACACTTACACATGATATTATACTTACAGACGATTATGAAATAAATACATATCAATAACGAACCTCTTTTGCAAACTGATAACTGCATCAATTGAATCAACAAGTGATTTCGAAAATATGTAAGATTTCACAACAACAAAAACTATCACAATAACTTAATGATGAAAAAAAGAAGGAATCAATCGAATGAAAATGAAACAAAAAAGGATCTGGAAATAATCATCAGATGATTAACAATATGCCAACATCACATTTTTTACAATTAATCTTCGAATGGAAAATCTTTTCGCGAACCAACCTTAACACATTTGGAACATTTTAAAAGATTATCTAGCAAATCCTCACGATTCTGTACTACTTTCAACACATAACAAATCTCAGAATATTACTAAATTCCAGTGCTAACGTTTAGGTGTCTCAAATACAGTTCTACAAAATGAATCACTTATATAATCTACGCAAACTTCAACGACCGTTTGGATCGATAGAAAAGACAAACACTTCTGGGAAAGAGTAATAAATAAAAAAATGAAGGAAATACTAAAAAATAACAATAATATTACGAAAGAATATCATACTAAACCCGACTGCAGAAAAGAATGATTCAATATGGCAAAAAACAATTGGAAGAAATAATGACGAGAGTTTTTTTCGTGCCACAACGAACAGCGTCGACATTGTCAAAGCAGCAAAATAATAACTGACTGATCAATGTTATTTTCATCATTCATACAAACAAAACGTAATCAAAATAATACAAATACGCAAACTGCTCAAAAGACGACTTGAATTTCTGGGAACACTGCAGTAGAGGGCGATTCACTGGAATAGTAAAGTAACATTTTCGAGAAGCAAGAAAATTTAGCATAAGCAGATGCAAGTATCACTCGGGAAGATTGACAAAAAACTGCGATGAAAACACGATCATAACGATAAAGAGAAATGGGATGATATTCGCAGAAAAGATGTACACAGACAAAACAACACAACACATCAGGCTTGAAGTAAAAAAACAGCTCTGCAAGAAATACACAAAATCGATGGAAGATAAAGAAGTTAACAGATACTCATCAGATGCTATGATGGACTCGTGTTATTATTATTATGATTATCATCATTATTATGACTATTGTTACTATTAGCACCTTTAAACCACGATGAAATGCTGGACTTAACCTTCAGACCAGTGTCGGTAAATAATTTTCCGGTCGACGCAACTGCAGATACCACACGTCGACCACCTTCAGACGAACCTATTGAGTGCTCAACTCTCAGCAACACATCCGATACGCCCAATCCACCACAGAATGGATGGCTGAATTTGAACGGTAAATCTCTTTTTGCATTGCTTCGCTATTTTATAAAACAATAACACTGATGACAGTTACACCAAATTCAATAGACGCTCTTATCTAACAGAAGTAAAATGCATTTGAAGTAAAAATTGAGTAAGCAGACAATTTCGGTTAGTTTATTTTTTAAACACTATCTTATCACACAGCAGCTATGGCAATATTATGAAAAAATACCCCGGAACAGCACTGGAAAGGTCAGCATAATGACCACTTGACCAGATCCGATAATTATTCGTTAATTTCCATTCGTTAATGAAAACCTCGTTGAAATCCGATAACGATTCTTTGAGATCACACTTGACCGTTGCCATTAAAGACAGTAAATATGCACGCATTTGAAGCTTGATCCATTCGTCGCCACCTTCCCAATCTGTTCATCAAAATGATACAATAATAATAATAATAATAATAATAATAATAATCACATCAATAATGGTAAAATAAATATCAAAACTAGAAACAATTTACATTACACAGCCAACGAAAATAATAAAACTACTTGCTGATCTTGCGTTTCCGTCCACTTCTTTGATGATAAAATCAGCAAAACGTAAATCCGCTGCAGTCAATGACATCGCACGTCTTAATTCAGTATTCACTATCTCAATATCACCCTCTCCATCATCTTTTATCTTCAATTCAACAGCCATTACTCTCAACTATTATTATTACAATCATAAGCATCCTTATCGACATTATTCACATCACTTGAAGTATGATACCATTATCGCTTTCAATAACAATACAGTTATCATCAACACTGCCACTGAATCATCCAGTCCGAACCAACTCCTCAGAAACACCTCCATCGCTCACTAACTTCACCCATAAATGAACATCACTCACCGTCACAATAACGTCAATATTATCTTTCCGTTGCACAAACAACGCATTCGTTGAACCAATCACATACGCTCGAATATTATCTGACCGAATCATATCCAAATAACTTATGCTCAGATACGGATGGAATAATGACCCCTTTAACATTAATGCATTCACAATAACATTTGGACATTATAAATTACACAGAATTTGCTCATTAATTTTATGGCTGAATATCACTCAATAATAAATGACATTTACCAGTCACAAATATTTTCTGTTTAAAAGATGAATGCAAAACAGTTTTTAACACAATCCTAATAACATTTTATCATATATATTCATAACGAACATAGAATTAAATACTCACTTTAGTGAAGATATTCAATGGAAATCCATAAGAATCTGTATTTAATTCAAAAGAATCAGCGTTTGAAGTATTCAATGTGGAATCTTGATTTGCGGATGACGTCTTCTGTTCATGAATAGCTTCCGAAGCTATTTCGGTAGATGATGAAGATTTATCATCTCGTTTCGATAAGTCATCATCATTCGTTAATTTTGCACTTGATTGCTGACTTGATTCTTCGTTCCTATCATCATTTTCAGTAGATTCAATATTTAGCTCTGAAATTTCACAGCTGCAATTTGCATTACATAGTGACAGCTGAGTAGCTATCAGCAACAAATCTCAAGTTGTCCTGAAATCAAAACGAGAGTGAAAAACTCGAATAGGTGATGACGAAAAAAGTTTTGTTCCAAAAATCACCAAAATCAGCAAGAATTCAAAGATGTGACGATTGTAAAATTAAATCGTCACATCAATCATCCCTATTAAGATATTTTCATGCCATAACTACGACAAATTTTCGAATATTAATTGTTTAAAGAGAGCGAACAAAAACAAAATAAACGACAAATTAACAACTCATTTACCAATATCATCTTCAGAGATCGACTCAGATTGTGTGGTGACACAATGTAATTTACTGTACGCAGCCGCTTGAAACAAACCTTCTTCTAATTGCTCTGCAAATCAATAACTCTATAGAACTGTCAGTGTTAGAAGCAAAAGGATAAAAATTTTATGAAACGCAAAATCAATACAATTTTAGAACATAATATTAAAACCCGTTATTAGACTATTAAAACATCAAGAGAATAAAAAGAGATGAGCCAAGCAAACGAAATGAACATACTCGGAAAAAGCGAGATTAAGGCAATCATAATTTCGCCGAGTTTACGAACTGGAAATATATAGAAAACCACCTTAAACAAATCTGCTTAATGGCAAAATTAGATTTCAGATTTTGAAAACTTTTTTCCATCGTGAAATATTCGCGATTACGGACAATCGTTAATTGAGCCACGATAGATAGGAAACATTAAAAATTAATTTTATGAATTTTCTCCTTTTCGAAACCTAAAATATGCATAAATATTTTTCGTTCGAAAATCTCCACGAAAACGCGATCAAGCCGAAAATAATCGTTAGAATAGATTGACACAAGAGCAGAACGAAAATTTCGAACGTGGCATACTTTTCTTTCCAGTAATATCAGCTTGAATAGAGCCAATAAGCGATGCTTAAACGACTCAACTAACATGTGAATTGGAATATCTGAATCAATTTATCACAATCAATAACTAATAATAATAATAATGATATAATTTCCATAATTTGCAATACCATTTACACAATTCATATTGTTGACATTGAATCGTGCTCAGCACATGCATATGCCCGTATTAAACCAAATTATTATCAGTGCTGCATTGTCTTGATCATCAAATGAATATAATTAATGACTCAAATAAAACACCATTTTGATAAATATAAAATGAGTGAAACAAACCCATTACAGCCGCCTGCTCATCAATTGCTTCTGGCATGAACATTTCACATAAATTATTATACATCTGTGATAACACTTCGACCTCCAAATGAAAACATTACTGTTAATCATTGTACTCAGCAACAGAAACACTGATTCAATTTAATTTGAAATCCCTTTTCTGCATATAATATAAATATTTAATAATTGCAATAAGTAATAAACGACAGAAGAAATACAACAAGCAATCCGAATGAAACCTTTGCAAAATCACGTTCATTGAAGTAAACTTGTGTGATCAGTTGTAATTTAGCCGTTAATATACCGAATAAAGGTACCCTCGTTAAAACACAAACACTCTTTTGTACAGTACTTCGTGTCACGTCTCTTGATTTGTTTAATAAATCCTTGAATATCACGAAAACGGAACAGATTACACATGAACCGAATTCAAAATAGATAAATAATCAAGAGGAAGAAATTTCATCATAAAGGTAATGACATTTTTGATGTTAATGGATCAAATATGTACATCAAGAGTGATAAAAACAGAAAATTTCATAAGCAAAAGGGTGATAAACTGAATATTTATTGGAATAAGAAAGATGTGTACTCACCTCAGCAGATATCTGACGATAACAGGATATGCCAAATACCGCTCGATTCGGATTCTCCAATGATGGCAAAAGGAAGTATATCACATCTTAAAACTACCTTCTATCAAGTTATATTAAGTGACAAATCTAGACAATAATATGAAATGAACTGAAACCATTTTCGATCGCTTTTTAATGTTCGATGAAGGTGACATGAACTGAAACAATAAACCATGTCGAACGATTATTATATTAAATAAAAAACAATCGGATTACACCTTGATCAACATTATGCGCACCATCGGGTAACGCTAAACTGGGTAAATTTTGCCATGCATTCGGTATTTCACCAGTTGAATCATTCAGTGGTGGATAACTGAATTCAACCTGAAAGACGTATTCATCATTTTTTTTCAACTCAGGTATCTGTGAGAATTCCGTGCCATGATACCCAATTTAAAAATATTGGTTCAGCTCTGACTCCACATTTTAAAATTTCAGCCCCGGCTCTGAAATTTGCTCTGCTCTACTCTGGCTCCAGAAAAAAACTTTCATATCGGTCTCAGTTTCGGTCACTGAATTATGCTGTGACATATTGTGATGGGACCAAAAAAATTCTTTTGACTTGGAGCTTAGAGACCGCTGTTCCGTCAAAAAATAGAACAAAATGCCACTTCGGACGACTGAACAAAAATATTTCAAAATTTCTTCACCTGACATCCTTTTTTGTGATGAAAACCAACAACGGCAACATGCAATATAACAGGATGAGAGGACGTAGACATCTGTTGACAATTTTAGCGATTCAATACAACGAGTAATTTCAAATGCTTTTGGTTCTTATTACCTACAAAAGTGAATGTTTGGATTCAGTTGGAAACTAGTCCACTATCAGAGCATAAACGAGACATTAATTCGAATGAAAAAGTGATTCGAAACAAACGAATCGTCGTAACCACGCAAAGCAACAGATCACTAAAAACTAAACTGATTGCGAATGAAGTTAACATTGAGCAATTACAAGTGAGAATGTGCACTGAGAATACAGGTTAATATTTACTGTCACTTCGGTCAAATCGCAATTGAAACAATAAATCTCCTTTGCACAGAATTTTTTCTTTGCATAGAATCCTCCTACTTTTCAGACATCACAGTGCAACTTCACTGCACAACCAATGATAATTACAGCTGCACTACAGTTTCGACGTGAGTAGATCGTGGATGAAAACAGCAAAGAAAATAGCTATTTTCATTGCTATTTTCATGAAGACGAAATCATTCTCAAAAGATGAAAAAGCATGAACATATAGTAGGGAAATATTACGAAATTTGAACTGATATGTGAAGTTCTTTGATCCATAAATTTTCAGTGCAAATCAACTTCTTTTTGAAAATGTGTTTTTTATAAACGTTTACTATCGCTTAGTGAATCACTCTTTGGAAGTGTTACTCTTATCAATTTCAACAACGGGATTGACTGTTTATGTGTGATTAGCAGCGACATTATCTTTGTTATCAACTATACACGACAAATTCATTTAAAGAATACGAACAAAACAAACCAATTCCTGCAAAATTTCTGTAGGACTGATCTGAAGTTAACTTACAATAAAACGATACTTATGATAGACTGCACCAATCTGAAGCCTCAAAAACAACGCGTTGAAATTTAAGTATTGCTTCAACCCATACAAAAGGGATAAGTGAGCGTCGTGAATGTAATTAGACACCAAAAAAAGTTCACGAATAACATTTATTCAGCAATTTTCGATTATAAACATTAAAAACCTACATATCATCAAACTTCACGACAACATACAATACGTAGTAACGAATAATAATCATTACTGTCATTATGATTATGAAATTCAAAATACCAATGAAACGGCTAAAGTAGAAAAAAACAAACAAAAAAGCAAATGTGTAGCGTGAAACCCCTAGTGCCTCCGAGAGTGAGATAGTTTCTTGCGGCTATTTCAGCTAACGATACATCCCTTAAATGATGAGACTAAATCTCACATCGAAGGGATAACCCTTACAGATTTTCGTCTGATCAAAACGACGAAGTAATCAAGAAAAACGTTTGCTGTAGGGAGAAGAAGGCAATTATCGAGGTTTCAGAATACAATTTGAGGAAAGTGTGTACAGATCGAAAGTGTAATCACTGCACTGCAGTGAATATTGATAATGAGATATGGAAGATATTCACTGGAAATGAAACGTTTTCGACGAATATTCATTTAAAAATGGATCAATCAGCAAATGAGTAACACGGTTTCTAAACAACGAGTCGGAGCTGATGTTCGAAACGAGAAAAGTCAAAACATCTCAAAATTATCAATTGATTAGACAAATATCAACTGAAGAGGAGAAATTTCTAGTGATTATCAACGTCAGCTGATTGAAGATAATTAACTCGACTTGAAGTCACAGAAACTGAGCCATTCTAAGAGATCTTGACTGACTTTTACCATCAAAGCAGCCTTTTTGCATAAAATTGAAATGACCATAATGATGACAACAATAAAAGTGGTTATAATATGGACAACAATAAAAATAATAACGCCCAGAATATCAACAATAACAATAATAATTAATAATGATAATAATAATAATGCCACCTGAACAACCGATACAAGATAATTAATTTGACTTGAATGCCCGATCAAAACATTAATTGTTCCAGTCAATAACGAAAATTGTTATGAAAATAAAATCCGATGAAATCTGTTATTACTAAATGTTGATTGATTGTGAGCACGCGCTTGGGCCTTGAGTTACTGTTATTGCAACTGAGTTTCACATAAAGTCGGAAAAACGCAACTAATCAATTAACCAATAGACAGGACAACGTTAAAAATTGTCGGTAATGTTGTAATTAACATATCCATGAAACGAAATCGTGCTACACACAAACCTTAATCTACGGCTAACTGAGTCTCATCGCTGGGCTTAGCCTAAGACTTATCCTTGAACTAAGGTTCACCGTGGGCTTACATTAAAGTCTGAGTCGTACGCTTGAGATTTATTTAGAGTTCAGGCTGAAGCTTGTAGCACATTCTTTTCTGCTTTCATGAACATGTTAACTGCAAAATTACGCATCGATAGTAAGTATTCATATCGGAAAATTAGGATAATCATATCGTTTCATTGCATAATCGACATATATTGCAGTGTTTCTCACGTTTGCAAACTCCATTACCCCTTTGATGGTGTGGCTAGCCGTCATCACCCCTCCTCCCACCCCAATACAAGAATCCACGCAAAACGTCAGGAGCAATTCAAAAAACGATCTGAATATTTTCCGGTGGCGTGAAAGAAATTAATTTCCCGAGATGAAACAAGTAATAATGCAGTCAAAGTGGAGGATTCAGTTTCCTTCAGTATTTTTAAAACTTCAATCATCAATTGCAAAAGGAATATGAACCCCAGCAATTAACAACGAGAAGTAATGAAAAGAACATTCGTCAGCGATGAAAAGAACTATAATTTATCAACAAATTCATCTATATCCTCAACTATCCCTTGACACCCTCAAAATAGCCCCAGTAGGTAACTAACTACCCCATGAGAAACACTGGTATATAGGAAAGAACTGATCGCAACGATGAACAAATGGCAATGAACAATAAAAGAAAACTGAAGAGAATAAACGCCTTAAACGTCGATAAAAACGAACACACATTAACGTAATTCAAACGATGACAAATGCAATTAATATCTTATTTTTGCAAGACATTCTTTCAACTGAACTCATTATCAGCTAATTTCAAAATTTCTTCAGCGATAAAATGACTCACCAATCAGTTCATTCAACAAGCAAAGCTTCTAATTCTAATCAATTCCCTTGAACGTGAATCAATTTCCATTTTCAATCGTTCAGTCAATAACTACTTTACATTTATCCGAAAATGTCATACCAGCCACTAATTGAAAAACTTGCGGTGAATATAAATCACGATGGGCGCAAAAAAATCCTAACAATAAGATGCAAGTTTTTGACGAAGATGAAGTGAAGATCAACATTCCAGCTGATAGAGCGATAAAAACAATGAGAAGAACGCCAACAAAGAAAAAAAAAACGATTACGAGGCACGATAATCAAATATCTACTCGAGAGGGCAGAGGAAATTATTATTAAGAAACGAATGCCTAAATTTGATTGAGAAATCAAAAATCGCCAAATTCAGATCGATTTCTGACAGTGATATGGAACTATTGGATATGGAAAAATGTCGTAATCGACGAAATTTTAGTAAATTTATTGATGCATCCATGTGAAAAATAAACGATTATTGTGGTATTATGGTAAAATGGCGTTTGAAATTTATGAGAGAATGAATACCTCAATAAATGAGAAAACAATGAATAGGGAGAAGAAATCAAAAATTTCAACGTGGGAATAGAAAGAAATTTCACTAAAAAGTTCATAAAACAGATGAGCATATGAAAGATGTTAATAGATTAATGAGCAATGAATGCACAGCAGTTATGAAAAACATTACTGACCATCAAAAGTATTCGTTTGAATTATCCTCAAAATTAATTAACCAAATTCACTATTACGTCAATCAAAAAGAAGCCTTCGCATTCCGAATATACCAAACAAAATGAACAAATTCATATCAACTGCAAAACAAGCAATTGTGGTATTTTATGCTCTTTTCAATCCCAAATAATCACTCCTATGCAAAACACAAATCATTCAACATGCACAATCGTGAAGTTCATTACTGAAAGCGGACTGATTTTCTTTCGATTTTACCGTTTTATAGAAATTAAGTTGTTCGGATAATCAAAATTTTATGAAAGCAGTAGCTAAGAGAATGATCCCAAAATATGCGCATCAGAATTTCGATGAATTCTGTTTCAACAATATAATCACCTTAACAACTTTTTACAAATAAATGCACTTCAAATAACATTAAATGATAGGTAGATTATGAAGGCATCATCATTTCTGCTTCAACTACGTTCGATTTCACAAGTAGTATTCACGCAAAATCCAGTCAAACCAAACTAGACTGGATTGTCAAAATAGACTGAGAATATCAAAATTTTGATGATCATGAGCGAAACACACGAATAATATAACTCGAAGACAACAGAAGAATAATATTAACACCAACGAAAGAATTAATGAAGAAAATATACAATATGACATAACTGCGAAATGAACAAATAAACGAAAATGATACAAAATAAAATAAAATTACGAATTCAACAACCACGGATTATTTGCGACGGTAAGCGGTGAACGATCCCCGTAATCGTATAATAACTCTTCTCCAATTTCGATATCCCTCTTTGCTATCAAAACAAGATGTTGTGATCCATTCAACTCTAACACCTGAATTTGGAAAGATTCTATTCACTTTTAAAATTTCTTCTTCATTTTGGATATAATTTTACTCCACTTAATCTAGAACCTTGATAATTACGGAGCAAATTTGGCGTTGGTATTGAAAACAGGTAGAAATGATACATCGAAAATGCGCCAATTGATTGCGTCACAGTTTAAAATAGATATATACCTAATTGTTGCGATGATCATTTGCAATTGATAGCAATGGCTTGGATAAGATGGGTAGTTAGAAGGGGGAAAGTAGAATTATAAAATAAACTAAAATGAAATCGATAAAATAGATTAGGATAAAATCAGTGGCATTTTAAAGACGGATCATCAAAAGTAGACAAAATAAGAAAACTCGAGAACAACCTTTGTTTTAAGATTTGGTTGAAGAATTGAATGATTGATAAGTCTGCCTTTATGCGGAGTTTCTTCGGTTGCATCCACACAGAAATGTTTATTCTTGTATTTGAAGTAATACATGAACGAACCAATACTTGCGTCTTCTGCATATTTTTTCTCGCGAGCTCTCGCAACACTTATATCAATCATTTCACCTGGAATCTCATGCTACCGATAATCACCACTGTAGTTACTATTTATATTATCAACGTTATGGTTACTACAATCGTAATACAAACAATGCAACTTCTTTGAAAACGTATAATTTATTTACAACTGATTATAAGCAGTAACAACAACAACACCTGCTAAAATCTCACAGAAAATCGTCTACCTAACAGGACAAAATTAGAAAACGTTTAACACCGAAAGAGTTGATTTTTTGATTAAAAAAAGTTGGCCAGATGAAATTGGGAAGATAAATAACCTTTATATTCGACAACGAATTCATTCTTATTGAATCGTTTCAGTGTTCTTATGCCACGACCCTTTTCTTTGCTTTCGAATATTTGAAGAAATTTCTCATTAATACCCGAATAGACTGCTTGCTCGATCGCATCGTGCTCTTCTTTCTGAAAATTTTTGTTCCACTGAGCAGTTTTGATCTGTCTAATAATTTCAGTCTAGGCAGTTTACTACCATGAGCCTGCATCTTAAACTGTTCGATTTTATTCGTTTAAAGTTTGCTGATCACTTTCATAACACTTCACCACTTCTTCCTAGTCCGTATTTTCACATTATGAACATTAAAAATTTCTTCAGATTCACAGAAACATTCGTAAAATTTTATAGCCAATGAAAAAAAGAAAATGAAAAATAATAATTCAGAAAATAATAAGTCAGTTGACTGGATGAAAATGGAAGATTTAGTTCTGAATTTATGTTTATAAAATGCAGATGGCAAAACATCATCTATATTGACCTCAAGTTGTTTTCCTGTCTTTCGGCCACTCCTGCGAACCGGGAAATAGTCAGTGATTTTATGGTTACAATTCGCATCCTCCAACACTGAATTCTTCCTGAAATAGTCCTCTCTGGAAACGAGAACGGAATACCGACTTCACGTTTCATTCTTTTTATTATCAGTTTCCCCAATTTGTTTCTCATTTCCCTCATACCGTTCTCAAAATCGCCAGTCCAATTCCCCTTGCAAGCCTTCAAGGCACATTCATTGATATTTTCTTTGATTTTGAAGTTTTCTTTCTAATTTTCATTTACTAAATGGTCGATCATCGTTAGTACACAAAAAATTGAGAATAACAAGAATGGAAGATCAAAAATTTCTCTCCTCAACAATAAAGAAAGACGAATAAAACTGAAATAAGTGAGTGTACTTCTGCGATTTAAGTTTCCCGTTTCTGTGTCTTCCGCGTTTTTGATCTACCACGTTGCCCAACATGCCCACCAACAGTACGGCAACCGAATGCCAATCCTCACACAAGCACCTCACTAAAACATATATGATCCTGCATGCCTCATACTCACAAAATTATGAGCATATCTATTGAAAGGATCGAATCAACTACTGATCATCATAATAATAATGACCAATTACGTATGCGCATAATAATAAAGGAACAATCCACATATATTATGATGAAATATAACGTAACATTAAAAACATGCACTATAATAGTTAACGAAGATGCTAAGTTGAGGAAGAACACAAAAAAACTGTTTATGTGTACATTGGCCGAGAGGATGTGCTATTGAAGAATATTGAATGAAATTTGCAAATTGCACATATATTCAGAGAAAACGCTGGGTTTTTCGATTTTTGAGAAGCAAAAAAGTATAATTTTGAAACTACCTCAGGTGTTTGCATCTACTCTGACAATGCAAAAATCCAAAGAAACTATGACTTCCCAATAATTCGTTGCTTAAAAATTCAGGATCAAAATCCCTTCACCTTCTAATGACCTTCCCGCCATAGCTGAACTTAGCCAATCAGAAATTGAATGGGCGGAGCTGGTGTGATTAGACAGCAAGAGGAACCCATTGAATAGATCTTTCGTCTGCATGTCCGATGTCTCAGCATTTTGCCTTGTTTACATTCGAATTGTTCACCTCCATATAAAATGTATATAGCATTGATCGTGTTACTATGATATCATATAATTCACTCATTTCGTTTTATATTATGTATACTTGTGTTCGGTTTATTATACTTATTACTAATATTGTTGTTATGTAAATGCTTCATTTAATTAATATTCCAACATTCATTCATTTCGTCATTCTCTTAAACGTTCCATCCCCGTTTAGACACAATATGATTCCAACGTGCTTTCTTTATGTTTTCTTGATATCGAAACTTACGTGGCGATAGTTGTCAACATGATCGAATCCACCACATTTTCAAAGGCAGATATGAATTTCACTAGGTGTTTAGAACAACTTACCCACGCAAACCAAGAAAGTATCATCGAATTTAGATGAACCGAACCACAACCCCACTAGTAAACCGATGATGACTATACGCAGATGACGTTCGTTCCGATCGTTCGCCACTAGCACCAGCGGTGAAGGCTTCGCGTTACCGTATCAAACATTTTATTGTGCTCTTGGCACGCGTTTCGTTGTTCAATTTTTGAATAAATCGTGTTATTGCAGCAACAAAATAATCCGATCGTGTGATAAAATGGAAGAAGATTTATTGACAGCCGCATTGAGCGAAGCTGGTCTCGAGGAGTTTATTGTACGGCCAAATGAAACGAGTGGAAATGAATGCACTGAACCAACAGTTAGCAATAGTCAACAAATATCTGATATTGATAAGGATTCAGTGGTGATTGGTAATGATGACATAACAAATAGATCACTACCATCATCTTCTTCCAATATTCAGACAAGCCTTCCAATAAATAATGCTGGTAACCAATATAATACCAACAGTAGCAGTAGGTCATCGACCATAAAAATTATACGTAATATAAATCGAGTAGGTGATAGAGATGTGGAAACAAACAGAATAATCACCACGACTCCTGCTGTTACAACGAAATCAACGAGTATCCCAATAAGACGGATAATTCCGTCTGCTCGAAGCAGTAATAATGTTCAATTAATCAGTCATCAACAATCACAGCATTCACCTCCCCCGAAACTCGTCAACGAAGCGTTACGCGATCAAAAACCTGTCCGATACGCAAGGTTCTTTGTGTTTTGTTGCTGTTTTCGTTTAAATTCGGACGAAACGTAAATAGATAACTGAACGATGAACGACAGAGTTACTAATGCGTTAAATCGTTCTTCGTACAAGTATACGAACCAAAAACAGTCGAGTATATATGAGTTTATGAACAGAGGAAACTTTGAAATTTATTGAATAAGTCAACTCGTTGACTTCGATAAGAATCCATTTCAAAACTATGTTAAAAATAAAGGATTCTAGCAAGCATAAGTATTAGAACTGAAAAAAAAAAACCTTCATGTTCATCTGGTAGTGTTCGGATTACTTGTTTTGGTAATCAGACAATGAAACTTTTTCCACATTCCGGCTCCAGTAATGTTTTGTTGGGTATTTTTGGCATAATCACGCATGATTTGTCATTTCGTAAATGTTCTGAAACTCCTAAATATTACATGAAGAAAGGAAGTGAAACATGAAGCATGCGCAGTGAAACATGTGTATACATGAAGTAAAATGAAGCTGTACGTATGAAATCGTTACTTTAGAAATGTTGCCTTTACCGGAATGTGAATGTTAATGTTACATAAGACACACATCACTTGTCTGAATTGCGACGATTGTCTAACGCAACGTTTGCATTTTGTTGAAATGGGAAGTAAATTTTGAGAATGAATTCAACTTGATATCATTTAGATAGTTCCAACTGCCATCATTATATATCTATAATTTTCAAAATGAAATAATCAATACGTTTCAAGCATCCGAACCGTTCCCGTGTCGTCGTTATCCTCATCATCACCCACAACGACACGTCGAATGCTTGCGTCACCACTCAATTATGACACCAACAGTAATGGACATGTAATAAGACGAATATCAACAGTTCCATCTGCAAACGATTATATCACTTCTCGTATCTCACCGGCTATACTTCGATCACGAAGACCCGTCACCACTCAGATGGTAAACCATTGCCTGTCTTTAAATGGTTCATCGTTTTTAGGAAGTTGATTCATCAGAAAACAGTCTTCAACAATGGTTTGGTGCAGGCATTTTCAAACAGATTCCGGGCATGCATGTAGCATGAGATTGTCACTTGCGCTCTGCGCTTATCAACCGCACTTTCTTCAGCCTGGAATTTACCTCATGAAAACACCTGACACCATTGCGTAGAACCAGTATGCACTCGGCTGATAAAAAGAGATGTAGTCTGAACGCAGTTTTATAATTTCTGCTTTGTTTCAGCAGAACAGTGCAGTTGCCGAAGAAAGGATGGTCACAACAACCAGACGTATAATAAACCGTCAGTCAATATCTCCATCATCAGTTCTAGATACACATGATTATGACGTTCATCCGACCACATCAACAAGTCATTATCGTCTCTCATCACCATCGCCCTCTCGTAATCGTAAACCCACAACTGTTTATGTTCTAAAACGAAATCTGTCATCTGATCGTCAACATCCCATGCAAAGTACCTATTTCATATTCGTGTCTTCTCTTGTTATCTGAACCTGTCATGTTGGGACTGAATCAAAACATGATACCTTCCTCAGGCGTTAAAAGAATACAGTTATCTCTCATTTGATTTCAAAAATCATCCAATCCGTGAGGCATTTTCCATAGTATCTTAAGAGATTCTTTGGTTTGCCAGACCGTGACCATTAACGTTTGATGGTATTCTCCTTCAACTATTCAAATTGATCTGTATCGTTCCTTTGCAGTAACGACTAATACCAATTGATCATTTAAGAAGCTGTATACGTAAGTCGAGCGGTTGGAAATGGTCAAATAATCCGTACGAGTCAATCACCACAACAGAGGACAATGTTGGTTAGGAACAATGCTCGAATGCCATCGAGTAGTGTCGTCGGAACGTCGTCTTCAGTACGAACAACTAATCAACGTTTCGTAAATGGCAACCATTCATCAGTTATTTACGGGAGGTTCGTTCATTTATACGTAATCATTACTTTATCTATCGTGTTCTTTTCACCTGCATAAAAGGCACTATTCTTTTATAATTGCTCAAATGGTTGTGATCACTGTCTGCAGAAGATCGCCAATCGTAACGACTCGAATAATAGAACGAACACAATCTCCGTCACCGTCTCATTCTCCGATACTGTCAACAATCCAACGGCATCCACAAAATATCGATTCACATGCGATGGTTTACGATGAAACTGGTCATCAGTACGTAGCGATATCGCCACCTCTAACAATCACACCATCCACCAACAATAATACTGATCAATTTGCGCAACGATCAATAATACGTAAAAGAATCGTTGGAGGCAATTCAACGTTGAATCGATCAGCAACAACACAGAATCGTTTATCTTCGTTATCGTACTCCTATCCAAAGGATCATCCCAACATTACGAGACCAATGTTAACAAGGAATGTCTCATCTCCTAATCTGATACAACAACGACAAGCAATAACGTCATCCTCTGGCATTGATACTGATGTTAATGACGATATCATCTCGATACCGAACGACAGGATTACGCAAATGCAACAACAACATCAGATACGTAGACACTCACTAAATGGTGACTTGCAACCGATTATTAATATCAGACATCGAACCAATATTAGCGATAGCAACAGCAATGCTATAGCACAATCATATCGATCGTTCTCACCCGTGACCACTGTCAAAAGTTTAAAACCGTTCGTCAAGAGTAATAGCAATCTGAACGCTGATATGACGAGTATTAGTGGTGAACAAGCAAACGATATGAATATCAAACGAACAGCTGTGACAACACCATCAGCTTCATTGTCGTTGATGAGTGCTGGTCAAATGATCAACGAAGATAGTAAAAGCTTGATTGTGCCATCTGAAGTTGGAGTAGGAGCACAGCAGCCAACAGCATCTCCTCCGAATACGTCTGATGCAAAGCCTTCGTTAACGCCCAAACAAGTCGAACGTAAAGATGCGGTAAAGAATGATCGCAAAGTGGCTAGGGATCAAATGAAGGCAGCGCTTCAAGCCGGCGTTGACCGTGGTACTCAAGAAATTGAAGATGAGGTCTGTGTTTTAAAACGTTATTTCAACTTCGAATCAACTCTTGATTCCGTGTTATTTTGTTGGTTCAGTTGAAGTGTTGAGCCGTGTAATGTGAAGTGCAGTAAAACTTCTGTTATAAGAAATGCACTTCGCTTGCTACATACTAAATTCATCATATTTAAAGATTTTGGTTATCCTTCGAAATTGTCTGCAAATAAGAAATCAATTATTGTATGTTAAATGAGTTCGGACTTCAGGTGGAAAGCGTGGGATATGCAGAAACGTATGCCGATTATAGACCAGTGAAACTGAGATCTGGACTGGCACATCCTGATACGGTTGTCGAAACAGCATCGTTAAGCAGTGTGGAACCACCTGATATCAAATATAATTTATCGATTCCTGAAGTGGTCGGTATTCTTATTTATTCATCATTCCGCATACTTTAACTATTATCATCACTATTGTGATGCCCATATTCGATTGATGTTTGCTCATTACTTATTTTGTTTCTGAAATTATATTGCTGATGATTATATGATGCATATGAACGTTGTGGCATTATTTATGCTCCGTCATGTGTGGTATTCGCTCGTTTCATTAATAATATTTTACGCTCTTTCGTTTATTCTGACAGTTGATTAGCTTTCGTATAGTTTACGTCTGAATAAAATAATCGTGTATCGTAGCTGGTTGATACGGGTGCGATATCAGCCGTACAATTAGAGGCAGTGATTTACGCATGTCAGGCGCATGAAATGATGTTACCGAGTGGGGAACGATATGGTTATTTGATAGGTGCGTTTTGATTGAGTTGATTTGTTGGTGATTGATGATAGTATTGATGCGTTATTGTTGGTGACATTAGGTGATGGGGCTGGCGTGGGAAAGGGTCGCACGATCGCTTGTATCATCTATGAGAATTATTTACTTGGAAGGAAACGATCTCTGTGGTTGAGTGTATCATCAGACTTGAAATTCGATTCACAGCGTGATCTTAGAGATATTGGTGCGAAAAACATCAAGGTATCGTTCGCGTATGATTCTAATTTTTGAAATATTTTTTGCTCAAATTTTTACCTTTCCTTTCTCATAGTCAGCGAACAGTTCGAATTTGTTGAATCGATTCAGAACAATCAGTTTCAAATGAACAATTCGAAGTGTTAAGATATTCATTATTACTGTCTTTGTTCAGTCATTCAATGAAAATGCTTTTGATGATAAGCAGTTTGCAGATTCACGCACTGAACAAGTTCAAATACGCAAAAATCAGCGGTAAAGAAAATGGAAGCGTTAAGAAAGGTTGTATATTCGCAACGTATTCGTCGTTGATCGGTGAGTGTCGATCAGCAAAAAACAAGTATCGAACACGACTCAAACAGTTGATTCAGTGGTGTGGAAGGGTGAGTTCATTTCGCTTATTGTTCCATGATGACGATAACACGATAGCACATGTTGTTTTTGGTTTATTGAAGGATTTCGACGGTTTGATCGTATTCGACGAGTGTCATCGTGCCAAGAATCTCGTCCCAACAACCGGCTCAAAGCCGACCAAAACTGGTCAAGTTGTGATGGAACTGCAAAAAGCTTTACCGAATGCGCGCATCATTTACGCATCTGCGACTGGGGCGAGTGGTGAGTCGGTTCTTGTTGAATCGTTTAATTAATCAGTTAATATTCATCACGGTTTTATTCAAATTTTGTGTATTTGTTGTTGTGTACTCCACTTTCATTTCGATTATACAACCGCATTGCAACTGCTAAAGATTTTTGTTTTCCGAATTTGTTCTGATCCAAAGAATTTCGTCGAGTGAATTCATATGAAGTAATTTGATATCGTCAACCGTATTTCATGATTTGTCGTATAAGAAAGAATTTTTAGAACCACGCAATATGGCCTATATGGTGCGACTTGGTTTATGGGGTCAGGGACAGGCATTTCCGGAATTCAGTGACTTTATTAATGCTGTGGAAAGGCGTGGAGTTGGTGCTATGGAAATTGTGGCAATGGACATGAAGGTTCGTTATGCTTATTTTAATTAGTTTATCGTTCTTTTAGATGTTCATTTTTGATGTTCAAAAGAGCCAATGAATGGATTCGTGTCCATTAAGGATGCTAGATTTTACTGCAGTTCCATTGAGGAATTGTTCATATTTGATCTATTGCCTTCATTCAAGTGGAAATGTGATTGCAGCAGCGAGGTCTCTATTTGGCAAGGCAGCTGTCATTTCGTGGTGTTAGTTTCCGAGTTGAGGAAGTGCCGTTATCACCTGAATTCATTGAGATTTACGATGATTCGGTTAAATTGTGGCTGGAATGTAGGAGACAATTCCAGGTGAATGTTTGCTAGTAATGATGGCTGTAGTTGTTACGTGGATAAAGCAGCCGTTTGATTGGTCGTCAGTTGGTTTTAGGAGTGATTGAATTTCATTTTGCCGATCAAACGATGAAAATTTTTGCGTATTAAAGTGTGATTCCTTAAGCGTTTCATTTTCAGAATCAATTGGAGTATGACAAAAGTAAAATTTAAAAGCCATTTCAGGCTGCGTTAAAAGCGCAAAGTGGCTGTGAGCAACGCGCAAATAACAAACAAATTTGGGGTCAGTTCTGGGCAGCGCATCAACGCTTCTTCAAATATCTTTGTATCGGCGCTAAGGTTGATTCTTTAATAATATTTGTTATTATCGTCATTATGACTCTTATTATCATGCCGCATTATTATTAAATGCTGTATCATTATTATTGTTATTTTTGTAAATTATTGGTATGAGTCTTATCGCCGTAACAATAATCATTAACTGGATTTAATCAGTCAGCGGTATTAAGGTGGACGCGTGTGTACAATTGACTCGAGAAGCAATGAAGACGAATAAATGCGTCGTCATCGGTTTGCAGTCAACTGGAGAGGCGAGAACGTTGGAAGCACTCGACGATGCTGGCGGAGAATTGACCGATTTCGTTTCAACTGCAAAGTTGGTTCATTATTGTTGCTGTCATTATCATTTGTACTTATATTCTTTGTTTGTTCTTCAGAGCTGTTTTGGTCGGCTTAATCGATAAACATTTTCCGTTGGATAAATCTGGTGGATGTGGGGATATTTTCTCCTCGTTAGATTCGATGTTTAGCGATTTCGATCGATCAGGCAAAAAGAGAAGTTCGTTTATTTAACTTTTAGATTTATTTCATATCATCAATCACTCAGCAGCATTCAACTTTTAATGAACCAAATAATTCACCAAATTTTCAGAAGCAACCAATGACATATATGGTGGTTCATTCACGTCCTCATCAGCAAATCGCTCGCACAAGAAACCAAAATTTGAAGGTGGTTATTACAGCGATGAGGATAACAAGTCATCGAATGCAACTTCTGTAAGGGATGAGTCGAATGCTGGTGAATCGGATGATGACAACGGCTCTGAGAAGAATAATACATCGGATTCCGAGAACGATGAAGATAATTCGTCAACGAGTGGCGATGAGAGTGGTTTGTTTGTTGATCAGTGGTTTTGTATTGCTGAATTGAATATTCGAGTGCTAGAATGGTTGTGATTGAAGAGGATGAGTCGGGCGAGGATAGTGACGGTGCGATAGTGGGCGATGAGGAGACGTGGGCTCGCAGGTTGCTCGATGAAGTGCGAAGCAGTTCCGAGGAAGAGGACGAAAGCGATAACGCTCCAACTGACAACAACGAGCCCAATGATAACGACAATGACAACGACAACGAATTCAATCCCTTCTTATGTGATCTCACCAAAGGTTTCTGATTATCATTTTGTTTATGTTATTTTGTTGATATATTGTATATTAATTATTTTAATTAATTTGTTACTTGATAGTATTATTAATATTACTTCTTATTCTTATTCTTATTATTTTATAATTATACAACTGATACAGAAACTCTTCCGATTAATTCTGTAAAGTATTGTTGAACGTTTGCAGAAGATCCGTGGGCATCAAGACAACAAGTCATATCAGATTCACCGAAAAAGAAAGAGAGAATCAAAAAGAAAGTTAAGAAAAAGAAGAAAACGCACAAAAAACTCGAAATACCTCAACGAAAAACTGCATTCGAATCGGAAGCGATGGTACGATTCATTCGTTTATTCGTTGTTCAGTAGAAAACATTCTAACCAATCGAATTTCAATGCTGATGAATTGTTCGAAGAGTTTAACCGAGACAATTTTGAGAAGATATTGCATTAGTGATATTCGTCGTTTTTGTATCGGTAGATGAGATGTGAATATTTTTGAAATTCACTTTCTTAATGCATTGTATAATGAGTGATTTGATTTGAAGATGGTAAGCGCTGATGCATTCATATCGTCATCACGTATAATTGAACGAACGGGTGATGTGGCTGGTGGTTCGATAGTTAAGGCAGAATTGTTGACAGCTGCTGAGAGACTCGGCAATAGATTACCACCGAACACACTCGATCAACTCATCAACGAACTTGGAGGGCCTGAATTCGTTGCTGAGGTTTTGATTTATATTATTATTTTATTAGTATAATTGTGGATTATTGCATAATAAATGAATGCTAAATAGATGACGGGTCGGAAAGGTCGTGTGGTGAGTCGTGAAGATGGCGAGGTGGAGTACGAACTGCGACATACTGGTGTTGACGTACCGTTGGAGCTGTTGAACATGGACGAAAAGGATAAATTCATGAAAGGCGAAAAAGCAATTGCGATCATTTCCGAGGCTGCTTCGTCGGGTATATCGCTTCAGGTATCCATGCTTTCATTTGTTTCATTTCGGTCACCTTTTCACAGAAATCCATCTTTTTAATTCCCGATGCTATTCATTGTCTCCACTCGGAATTTTTATTCATTTAATGCTATTACCTTGCATCAACCATTTGATGTTTCCTTATTGCCGTTGTCATTCTCGTATTATTTTCTATTCGATTCCCGAGCGGTCATTTTCTTTCTTTCTTTAAATGTCTTTTTTCAACTCATAACAATCTTCGTAATCAAAACTGCAAGTGAAAAGAATTTCAACGTGAAATTTCAGTCAGATCGTCGAGCGCAAAATCGACGTCGCCGTGTGCACATAACACTTGAACTGCCTTGGTCCGCTGATAAAGCAATTCAGCAGTTTGGTTAGTCATCGTCATTATCTTCATTGAATAGTTTTGGAATGGCATTTGATATCAAAAGTAACTTACTTATCTGGTGAAATAGATGTGCGAATGATTGACTAGTCTGAATAAACTCGCAGCACATTTCAATGTGTAATTCAGGTCGAACCCATCGTTCAAACCAAGTGAATGCACCCGAATATATATTCCTCATCTCTGAGCTAGCTGGTGAAAAAAGGTGTGGTTCATTTTCTCATAAATTATTCTGACATTTAGAAATTTCCTAAGAATAATATCAGATTTTCCGTTAAATAATTAGACTAGAGTTCTTTTATTGTCACTCTGAGTGTTATCAGCATTAAAATTCCTGCTATTATGCTGCAAAAAAGATAATTTCAGATTCGCGTCAATAGTGGCGAAACGTCTGGAATCGTTAGGAGCTTTAACACACGGTGATCGTCGAGCGACGGAGTCTCGTGACTTGAGTCAGTTCAATGTGGATACTCGTTATGGTAGATCAGCGTTGGATATCCTGCTGCGATCTGTCATTGGCTCGATGAATCCACCTCTGATTCAACCACCTCAAAATTATAAACCTGGAAACTTCTTTGCGGGTTCGTTTCCGTTCGATTTTTTCTTGTTCAAAAGCATTCATTGTTCAACTGAATATGTAGCAGTTTTTTTTCAACTATATAGGAAACGCTTCCAGAATTGAGTTTTTTTTTAAAACTACTCTCCTCTTACAGTGAGAAGTTATGATACTGTCGAAAAAATTTAATAAACGTATCATTTCGGATTGCTTAGTAATCGAATTGAAGATATGGCACGTTACATGGAAGGAGTTGGCATATTGTCGTGCGATAAGGGTGTCTACTCAGTGGAACGTGAATCAGCAACGATACCGAAATTCTTGAATCGCATTCTCGGTCTGCCTGTGCATGCACAGAATGCGTTGTTCCAGTACTTCTCAGATATTCTCTCTGATCTTGTTTCGCAAGCAAAACACGATGGTACTTACGACATGGGTATTGTTGGTGTGTTTCATTCATCATTGTTGTTATTATATTCATATGATAGTGCTTATTCAAACCAAATATTGCATCTTGTGAAGTGTTTCGTCGGTGAAGTGTTTTTATGCTGTTCGTCATAAAAATGGAATTGTAATTCAGATCTGGGAACTGGCGGTGATGAGGCTCGTAAGCTGGAAACTCGAGTGTTCTTGGGTCGGGCAGATAATGGTAGTTTTAGAGTGGAGATGCATAAGATCGGCGTTGAACGTGGAGTGACATGGGAAGATGCGTATGCGATTTGGAAGGATCACCATATCGACGAAGTATTCATTCCCATTCACTCTCTATTTTGCAGCAACAGCAATCAATATTTCACGGAATTGTTTGCATTGCTGACAAAATCCATGACCATGGCCTAGTGATCTCAACTGAATGAATACATTCTCTATAATCTAAAGTTGCATTCAACAGTCATTAATCAAGAAATACCTCAAACTGATGTTGATATTGATCTTAATCGATCTGCCTCAAATCTAATTTTATTGTTTTCTTAATCAGTGAACGCAAAAAATTAAGGATGGGTTTTATCTGTCGACGATTGGTGTGAATGGAAAGAAAGCAGCAGCACTAGTGTATGGTATCGGTAAGAAACAACTGGATACAGGTGCAAGATTGTTTTGTGTAACCCGTCCAAGTACGGGTCGTAGTCCGAAGTTGGAAACAATGAGTGAATTATCGAAACGATTCACAGCTGCTACACCTGAGGAGGTGGAACAAGTATGGAAGAATCAATATGAAGGTGAGCAAGAGGTTATCAGATCTGCTCGGTGATCATTGAAAGCGCAGTTTGCGTTCAAGTGTTCATCTTGTTTGCGAGGAATGATTGAAAGTTGTGTTTCCATTTGAACATTATTTGAGAGTATTGAGTTATGGTCAGGTGAATTTATGCATGGAAATTTATGGATCGTTTGAATTACATTTTATCTGGCTGGTAGTGTGTAATAATGATCACTGAACATGATCAATATGTTCAGTGATAATTGAAAATTTAATTGAGATTGAGTTGTTAGGTGGATAATTCAAACGGGTAATCAACTAAACAAATCGATTCTGATTGAAGGTTCGAGTAAAATGTGTCAGCACAATTATTTCCACGCTCGTTGTCGCAGTGAAGAGCAAGGAATATACTGTGAGACAGGTCGTAGAACAAGGACGTATTTCGTTTTATCCGGCTCTGTTCTGTCTGTGTGGCCAATTGTGGAGGATGTCTTATCGGGAGGTGTTTCTTTGTCGAATCGAGAAATCAAAAAGACACAGCGAATGCAAATCATTCGTGTTCGTACGCAACAAGATCTTAAGATTGTTGGTGAGTCTTTTTTGTGCTCCTTTCAAATAGTAACGATCATTTGATATCATTTAATAGACTACACTTGGAGAATGAAGGATGACCACAGTGCAATCAAAGTGTCATTGCTCTTTGAATTCGGTGACTCGAATTTTCTTCTTCTAACCATAAATACAACGTTATGGTTGGTGTTTACATCATCGTGGTGTATTGAACCTAGTACAATATAATCAGTTTTAGAACAAATATTTAAGTGCGTTGAAACTGTTCATTTGATATTCACGATCGTATATTAAATTAATATCAAACTAAGCTAATTGCTCTCTACAGGTTTATTGATACTGCCTCAGTATGTGCGCTCATTAGTGGGACGTCTTGAGGAACATTGTGGACGTGCTTATTTAGACACTAAAGGAACAACGACCTTGTAGTGGAATCAAGAAAACGAAGATTCCAAGTGTCACTGCACTCTTATCTGAACGTAGTTGTTTTTGATTTGTTTCTTATTGTTACTCATCTGGTTTATGTATTCTTTTTCTCATTTTGTAAACTAACTTTCTGTTACTCGTCAGTTGTTGATTGCTTTCTTATTATATTTTCAGGTTGTTATGCTTCTTCTTCTCTCAGTTTTTCCATTTATGGGTTAATATAACGTTCGATGAACGGTACTAGGTCCGGTTTTACTCCGTTCATTCATTCTCGTATAGCTATTATATTTCTATGCCAGATACCCTTACTGTCGCATTCTTCCACATTTCCAGGTTTGCGATCCTCAGGGAAAGTTTAGTTTTGAACTGAGTAATGACTCTCAACGGAATCATTCTCCCTGAAGATCGCATTCATCAAAATCTCTGTTAAACTGATACTCCAAATGTTTCGACTGAATTATCTTCCAAAGGCGTACAGAAGATTGCGTCTATTTATAGCCGAAACTGCATAATAATAGATATTTTAATAAATATGTAAACGATTGGGTTCCTATCAGAGAAAACAGTGAAAAGGGGAAATGACAGTCTCAAAATGACCAAAGGGATGGATGGTTTGGGACAATAGCGATCAGCAGTCTCTGATATAGAAAATCGTTTTTCATTGTCATCATTTCTTGTGATTTCGTGATTATTTGTTAAAATAGAATATTTTTGGTGTTGTGCTCATATCCTTTGTTTATTTGAAAATAACAAAAAGAGTTAGGAATATTTCGGGTTATACTATTTGGCGTGTTTTATTTTCATTTCGTTGTCGTTGTCAGCAGTAACGGTGCTCATCAAGCTTTTTCGTCTCTTCTCCTTTTTGATTCATTGATTGATAATTGTTTCATGAATCGAATTGTTCAGTATTCTAATATCATCGCGTCGATTTACTTCCCAAATGTACAAATCATTTGCTGCATTGAAATCATTTCAATAGAATTTATTTATTGTTGCATATTGATTGCTTGCACTGACATTACGTCTTTTCATTGTTTTATGGTAATGGAAATGAGCTTTGAATGATCTATTGAAGTGTAATTTAAATTGCGTTCATTGGCAAAAGAGAGCATTTATGAAGGGTACAATAAAAATACTGTGAGTGTGCGATGGGAAAGGTAATTTCTCATCTCTGAAAAATTTAAAAGTCAAGAAGGAATACTTTAAGGCATTTTCTGATCTAAATAGTACTGATTCTTTTCGTTCATTTCTAAAATTTGTTAAACAGTTTAAGTTTCAGCATTCTAAAAGTGCCCTAATGAAACGCCTAAAATCATGTAGGAATAAGGGCTGAATGCAAATGTAAATGAAGTAATTACTGATATTGGTACGGGTATGTCTCTCATATGATTGCGCTCTTTGTTATTTTGTAATATATCCCTTTATTTGTGTGTGTTGTTATTGTTTGCTTTTGTGATGATGCGGCAAAACTTTTCATTGAATCTTTGCTCACCTTATTACTTGAGTGGTCGTTCATTTCATTCTCTTCTTCGTTCTTAAAATAATTCCTCATTTTATTTGTCACTGTTATTCCGCTATAATAGTTAATAGATTGATTGTTGTATTTCGAGACGTGGTTATTCAAGAGGAATCTTTATATGCAGATGTGTTTGTGTGAAAAGGAATTGGCGTAATATAAAGAGATATGTTCTATTGAAGATAAATGTTTAATCTTTACAAACGTACCATTACTGCAACAATGTCAACGTTGAAACGTGCTTTTTACAAACAAGAATATCAAAAACTGTCGCAGAATAATTCAAATATTTTCGTGTGAATTTTGATTGCATGAGCATTGATTACGTTCAATATCAAACTGAAATAATGATCTGTAATTCCCATAAGACACATCGAACGCGTCGAATCTCAGGAAATGCGTGAAAACCTTGCTGATCATATTTTGCTCACCGACAAAATATCGTTACGGAAAATGTGATTAATCTTGGTATAAGCATTGTGCTATGCCTCATAGCCTTTGCGTTTGAGGGAATTCACAATTTTCATCTCTGTTGACCTTCGACAATTACAGTATATGGTAGTTATTGAACAGATGGAATATGAAGTTTTAGAGACTTTATTTTTAGATATTAATCAGCATCTGCGTAAATAAACGCACTTCTTCATTTTTTAACAAGCAAACAAAACAATTTCAAACGAATGGTAACTTCAAATATGGATAACAATTTAACTGCACAGAAATTGAATGAACAAGTAAATGTTTCGTTTTTCATTCACATTTTTGTATCTTTCCTGGAAAATGCTGGTTTATCCAAGCGAGCAACAATGATTATTTGTTTCATTCTCATAATTTGCACAATAGACATTCAATGAGCATCACTGTTCGCCGTATTTACAATAAAATTAGATAGATATTGAATCATTATGAAAGCAATGGAACAATTTCAATTGAAGATAATAAAAATGCGAAAAGTAGTCGATAAAGCTCGTGTACGACTCTGTAGACGTTTGGTGAGACAGCAAAAAACTTTGAAAGAGTCAAAAAACGAGAAGAAAAAACGTAAAACAGAGCGATTAGTGGAGGAGTTCAAAGCTTGCAAGGTGTTTATTTATGTCTTTTTGTTGATTTGTTGCGATGTTTATTCGTACATCTCAGATTCAATCCTGATTAATCATTCATCTTTGACTATTTATGTCGTATAAATTCATTTGTTTTTTCTTATTCATTAAAAAAACAATACTAATGGTGAGATGGAAATACGAACTGAAAAAGTAGAAATTCATTTTCGGTGGAAAATTTTAACGGAGTGAGCAAGCGATTTGATTACTTAAAGGGCTAGGCAATTTTCCATCAATACTTTCAGGGGTTACGGCGTGACGACGTTTCGAAATTTGCACTTCTCAATTTGAAATCCCTGAAGGATCTAAATATACGAGTTTGTTTACTTCTTTCATGCATTTTTCTTAACCTTCGCCTAAATATTCTTTTATTTTACTGATATACGAAAACGTACGAGAACCAAAAGGGAAATATTTCTCGAGAACAAGACATTTTAATCTGTAAAAAAAAGAACATTCGATTAATACATTCCATTCGTGGTGGAGATATTTCCTTCTGGCTAGTATTTATGTAATCTGTATGATGTAGAGTGCAATCCGATATCATCACTATCAATAATTGCTAAAGGTATGTCAACTGCAATCATTCAGGGTAGCACACCAGTACAAGAACGTTTATTATACAAACTCGCCAGCGAACAGCTAATAGTCGATTGTGTCGCTGAATTCCGTAGGCAGTATCCTGAATGGAATCTGCAAGCACCATTTCTACTTCAACGGCTTGGATTACAATACCGTTGGAAGCGAAAACCAGTTAAGGCGACCATATCAAACGAAGACAAATCAAATGAACAAATCACTCATGATAGTGACGATGGTGGCGATACAGAAAAGGAGTTATCAGATAATGAAAATATTGAAGAAGTCAGTTGATTGGCTCCATTTCATTCGGAACATTTAAACAAAGTTGTTCGTGATCTTGCATCGAATCGATTCTGATCGCATTCCACTGCATAAACTTCACGATAATGTGTTTCTCACGCTTGGAAGCTACATTACCCCCTCCGATGTCTGGCGGGTCATCTCCTCCTCCTTAACCCATAAATTCCTATGGAAAACAAAAGTTAAACTTTTCAAACTGGAGGTTCACACTCTCCAAAATTTTTCAGTGTTTGCCTTCATTGTTTTTGTTTGGGATTTACCATCTGAAAATTTAATAAGCTCGTTTGATGCTATTACTTTGTAGGTTACTCAAATTAAACAGGTGCCAAAAAATGAGTTAAAAAAGGAGATTGTGCGCGAAAAAGTGGCCGAACTCGTGGCGAAGAAAGTGAAAAATGTGGCACGAAAAGAAGAGAGTCACATAAAGAAGACGAAGAAAAAACAGCAAAAAGCAGGCATAACACTGGAAAAAAGTAAAATTGAGCTACCGAAACCAATCATAGCACCAAATGCACTTCGACGAGGTCAGGTATGTATATACATTCGTTTAAAAAAAATCTTCCAAAAAATTTGAATATATAATATTGCGTAACGTTAATTGCTGCTTAAATTGCCTCCACCATGAACACGGCACATTTAATTCGGTTCTTAAATAGCACTTTTGTATTTAGCAGTTTCAGTCATTGTAAATGTTCAAGAGACAAGCAAATATAATTCATAAAGCAACATTTACATGGCTTTGATACACGAATTGAATGAAGCGTTAATAAAATAAACAATTTTACGCAATAATTCCGCTCGTTAAAGGGGATCATCAGGAAATTGATAATGGATGGATCGAATGATAATAATAACAATGATACTGATGAGATAGATGCGGTCAGTTCTGGTGAATCGCACGTTATTGTATCAACAACACAGCGTAATTTATCATTTCTTGCATATTTAGTTGTGTTACGTAGAATATTACTTGCTTGTGTACGGAATTATGGAAGATTGATTAATCTATATGACGATAATTCAAAGAAATGAAAGTGAATCGAAAATAGATGCTAGGGAACAAATTTCAGGAGGCGAAGGTGATGAAGAAGAGAAACATAGGAATGAAGATGAGCATTGGTTGTTCAAAACGGCGAGTGCTTTTCAGTTGGAACCCTCTGATCAACAACAACAAGAACATTTGAGAACAAAACAAAAGTATCTATCAAACAAATCCAAATTGCGCTCTCAATCAGATGCAGTCCATCCGTCATGGGCCGCCAAACGACGAGAAACGGAACGAATCGCTGAGTTGAGTAAACTGGCCAAAAAGGGCAAAAAAGTTGTTTTTAATGATGATGATTAAGATTAGTTGTATGCCGATCAAAGAAAGCGGCTTTTGGGGAAGGGGGAGGAGGTATTTTATGAATTGCACTTAATGATAACGCAGATGATGAAGACGATACTGATTCTATATTTCTCTTGTTCAGTGAATTGGTTAAACCTTACGATGAACCGAAATTATTTGCAGTGAGTCTTTCTTTTAGAGTAAATGCTTTTAAAACAATTTCCCATGAGTATGTCAAGGATAAATCCCATTCTATTGTTTTTTTGTAATCGTATTATGATTTCGAGAAGGCATTGAATTATTTCATTTATTTGTGATTCAGTGCATTTGGTTTTTACTCGAGGCGATTCGGCATGAACTTCTCTCGAATCGTAGTCGAAAAAAATTGTCACTTCATTGTTGTAGTTTGTTAAATTTACAAAAGAATAAATTCATATAAATGATTTTATTTTTTTGAAAACATCGATTTGTACAAAACAAAGTGCTGTAAAGTAAATTAAACGAAGTATCTCTACTGAATACAGCAGAACGTAATTAAACTCTAAACTTCGCTCAGGCTGTCCGAAGCATTTTGGCTGCTTTCTTCTCTGCTAGTTGCTTCAGCTGTTCTTGAACAATTTGCCGTCTTTTGTCCAAAAATTCACGATATTCGTCTGGATTCAAATCCTCATGTGTTACTTCAATTCCTATCGTTCGACAACTTTTGATGATCATTCGGCAGATGTCCTTCAAACAGAAAATAAATAAGTATCACGAATGCCTTATTTCAACTAATCTGATTATGACACTAACATTAATTCACATTTGATTCCGAAGTAGCTAACTAAAACATTGATCACTCATTACATCTCCTACTAAAGAAAAAATCTGAAAATAATTCTCCGCGATTATGGATTTGAAATGACGAACAAAATATGCTTGTAGATGAAAAGATATTTACCTGTAACGGTACACCGACTAGACATTTATCTTGTGATTTTACCTTTGCAATTTCATAGATATGTTTCACTGATAATTTACCAACGATCTCATCTGAAAGTCACTAATTGAGACAATGACACTTTCTTGGTTTAACTGATATCGTTTACAGAAGGATTTTGATCGGAGTTGAAATTTTTTAAATTTGTTGTTCACGAATGCTGTAGAATATCGAATACAATTAAAACACAAACTTGGGAACTGCTTTCCTCTCCGTATGCCTGCTGCTCTTTTCAGCAGCCAGCTGGTTGTAGGACTGCATATTTCTAAGTCGTAAGTGCGATCAGGTTTTATCGAGATTCGTGTCGGCAGAACCGTACCTTGAAATAGACTTTATTCACTCACTGCACTTCAGATCGGTCAGAATTCCTCGACAAAAAGCATTTCATATGTACACAGGGGATATGATATCCTTCACGCATCATCATGAATAATGACTTAAACGAATAACATTTCGTATAAGTCAAATGCGTTCTGTTTCACCTAAAAATGGTAAGCTATTGGAATTAAATTAATTAATCTCTGGTTATTTAAAAACCGTCCATATAAGATGCAAAAACTGAGGATGAAATTGAAGCGGTACCAACCAGGTTTGATATGACCTGTTTCTTTATTGAACTCTTTACAAAAATTCGCCACATTCAAACCTCGTTGACCGAGTTGAGGTCCAAGCGGAGGGGCTGCTGTTGCCATTTGAGCGCTTAAATTGTTTGAGAGAAGTTTCGATAGTGATCATTATGATTATTGAAGGTAACAGAGTGAAACAATTCGAACTATGAAGAAAATACCGAATATTGGTTTTAAGAAGAGCACCATGGATCACTTTAACAACCTCCTTTTTTCGAACTCTTGCACCCACTTTTGATGCCATTTCAAGTTGATGATTTTTTTTGATCTGCTGAAAGAGATATCGTATCTTTGGCTACGCCATGAAATATTTAACCTTTTCGAATTGTAATATTAGAAAATTTACACTCCAATCGATTACAATAATATCATATGCAGCCTTTCGATATTCGCTGACCTTTAAAAGTTAGAAGATCGATTATATCGTGAGAATACAATTCATATATATTGGTTGTGGGATTTGCCTCGTTTCATCAATTTTCAATTGAATATTTTGTGGCACCTTTGTTTGGAAAAAATTGAGATAAACCGTTTACGTTGAAATCTGAAAATTTCTCATTTTCGAACACATTCGGTGAGAACCGAAAAAGTAACGAAAACGGCAGCGAAGTATCTAAAAGGCGACAAAACTTTGAATTATTACTTCTTATACTTATCATAATGTTGTTCCAATCTCCCCTTTCCTCTAATGAATGTTCTGTGTTCGTGCGATGCGCTTGTGATCCCGCCCTCCTTCCGCCGGTGCGCTCGTTTGGCGAAATGCGTACACACCGATGGCTGAACCTTGAAGGTGAGGGATGATGGTCGCGATATGTTGTGAAATGTGAGTCAAAGAATCAGAAGAAGCCGTTTATAGCAATATGTCAGCGGTAAAAGTATCCCATTGATATGATGCAGTCATTTTGTGCTCTCATTAAAATCATGAATAACACTCGTCTGAAGTGAATTCGAGGGAATTACGGTTAAATTTCACGGTCAGCTGGAACGCTAACTGCATGCATCATCGTTGGTTGCATAGATTTTAGCGAGAGATAGATACGGTAGGTGGGTGACGGTAATCGTTTGCGATACGCAGCTGCTGCAAAAACGCTGCATCATACGTTGCGTCGTTGGCGCGTAAACCATTAACAACAACAGCTCTATTTATTGCGTATTATTTTTGTTATGGCGCATTCATAAATGGGATTTTTAATTTGTTTATTAAAGTTTGAATGACAATATCATGACTGATAATAAGCAGTGGAACATAGTTATGAAACAAGAAAGTTGAGAATGAAACGTCGCAATCGATTGATCTATTTGTTATGTGATCGAAGTGTTCGTTGATTGTTTGAGAATGACATGAGCAACACACAAAGTTATGCGCAGTCATACTAAGAAGGTGGACAAGTTATTTCTGAGCAGTTTGGAAATTTTGTGAATCTTTTGAGTGATAATTGGTATCCATGTATTTTTGCGGTAAAACGTTATGTTTCCATCATCGTAACTTATCAAAGAACTATACAGCGCTGTACTATATTGCGTTCTTCACACTTTTCAAAAATTTCATGTAGCATTTCTCAACAGCTTTCTAATTTGTTCGTTCACTCCCATAAATAATATCACATTGCAATTTCTTAGAAAGTAGATCAGAAATAAAACTGAAAATTCAGAGGAATATCAACAATGTTTCGATGTTGTTTGATAAACACTGAATTTGTTATCGTCATGAATTTGTAAGTTGTATTACTGGTATTCTCTTTGATCATTCAATAATCGTTATATTAATCGGTGAATGAGATTGTATTAATTGGTAAAACAGTGAAGTAATTAGTGTATCGAACAATATGTTACGATTTTGCTATCCGAATTTGAATGAAGTTCGGAGGGTGGTTACAAAGAGTGAAAAATGAATTAGAGCCTGTAAACCACCCTTATTTGATAATTGCATATGACCTGCAGGAGTGATTATCTTCTTCCTAGAATGCCCATTTGAAAACGCTAACTGTTGTGGTTGAGTGGCCATAATCCAAATATAAATGTAGTAATTTTATTCGAATTAAGATGGCCTCTTCAGAAGCGTCATCGAATCAAGAACACGTCTTTCAACAAGACCAACAAGAACAACAAGCAGGCGATCACGAATCACAAGAATTGTTCGAAGGCGAAATTATACTTGAAATGGAACAAGTGATCAGTGAAGAGGACTTATTACGTGGAATAGAACATCAGCAACAACAGTCGTCACATATGATAACGAACAGTAGCGACAATAATAACAACAGTGAACATATCGAGCAGATAATCGTCGAGCAGAATCAGCGTATTGAAGAAATGAATGATGAGGACAGTCAACAAGACATCATTCATTACGAACAACAGCAACAAATTGAACAGCAACCCATTGATCAATTACCGATTGCAACTCATTTTGAAGAAACACATTCCACAAATGTCGTTGAGGAGGTCGTGGAAGAAACTGTGGAAGAGACATTCCAACCGAGACGTCCAGTTACAAGTTTGTTTCTTTCATTCACTATTTATTCTTTTAGCATTCTTCCAGTTTTGGTTGCTTCGTTCATTAAATTTTATTAGTGTGGTCATGTCAATCTTATCCAATTCTGAAGTATTCTGATTCTAATTATTAGCGGTGTTTATTGGAGTGTTCTCATTATGCAGTGCCATCATTGATATTAAGCGAGGACGGTTGAAACGTATTCTTATTCACTCACTTCAATTCAGCTGAATCAATTCTTCTGTTAAAAAAGTCTTTAAA